AGTGGCAGCTGCACGGGCAGCGGTGGCAGTGGCGGCTGCAGCTGCAGCGATTGCAGCTGCAGCGGGCGGTTGCAACTGCAGCAGCTGCAGCAGTGGCAGCGGTGGCAGCACAAGCTGTGGCAGCGCAAGCTGCGGCAGCGGCAGCGGCAGCAGCGGCAGTGGCGGCAGCAGCTGCAACAGTGGCAGCGGCGGCAGTGGCGGCAGTGGCGGCTGCAAGGGCAGCGGCGGCAGTGATGGCCGCATGGGCAGCGTCGGCAGTGGTGGTTGTAAGGGCAGCGGTAGCAGTGGCGGTACCAGCTAGAGGAGTGGCAGCGGCGGCAGCGCAGCTGCAGCGGCAGAGGCAGCAGCGTCAGTAGCGGTAGCGGCTGCAGCAGTGGCAGAGGTGGCAGCGCAGCTGCAGCAGCAGAGGCGGCAGCAGCTGTGACAGCAGCAGCTGCAGCAGTGGCAGCGGCGGCTGCGGCAGCGGCAGTGCCTGCAGAAGTTGCGGCAGTGGCTGCAGCGGTTGCGGCAGTGGTTGCAGCAGTTGCGGCAGTGGCTGCAGCGGTTGCGGCAGTGGCAGCAGTAGTGGCGGCAGCGGCAGTTGCAGCAGTAATGGCGGCAGCGGCAGTGGCACAGGTGGCAGAAGTGGCGGCTGCAGTGGCGGCGGCTGTCTGGCGACTAGCTGGCAGCAGTGGCTGGCGCAGCAGCGAGCTGGCCAATGACGAGCTGGCAGGCGCTGCTGGCGAGTAGCTGGCAGGCGCTGCTGGCGGCGAGCTGGCTAGCACTGCTGGCAGGGCGCTGGCTAACGCGGCTGGCGAGCTAGCTGGCTAACGCATTGGCTAGCTGGCTGGCATGTTGGCTGACGTGCTGGCTAGCGCACTGGCTAGCGTGTTGGCTGGCGTGCTGGCTAGCGCGCTGGCGGGCGTGCTGGCTAGTGTGCTGGCCGGCGCGTTGGCTGGCATGTCGGCTAGCGTGCTGGCTAGCGTGCTGGCTGGCATGCTGGCGAGTGTGCTGGTTAGCATGCTGGCTGGCTTGCTGGCTCGCTGCTGCTGTACGAAACAGCGTGAACGTTAGGGGGGGGGAGGAGTCGAGGCTACGGAGCGCAAAATTGGAGGGCAGGAGGCGCACGAAATTGAGAGGGGCACACGCGGGAAGAAGAAGAATAAAAAAAAAACTACAGTAACGGCCGAAGGGTGAGTAACGGCGGAAGCGTGAGTAAGAGCGAAAAAAAATCTAACCTAGCTCAATACCATGTTAGAGTAGCGGGAAAAAGTGTGACTAGGAAGAGGGGAGGGGAGATACCGTAATCCTCCATATATAACACCCGCCGGAATAGTCACTCCATGGGTGGTTAATACGGGGGGGAGCTTATGATATGGTTCATTTTTTAGAGTACCCACTTTTCAGGTGACGAATTATACATAACGCCCCCCCCCCCCCCCCCCCCCCCCTTTTATTGCTTGGAGTACATTGAGCCGATTGTACAATCAACCATATGGATCCTATCCCTACAGCAATGTTACAACACGCTTGAATTCCTACTCATTGTTGCCTACCAGAATAGCATCCAGTGACTAGCGCAAGGCCTAGATCATGTCCTTGTGTTTTCAGTTAGCAATAAGGGGCATCATTCACTACCTAATACTCCTCGTCATCCTCATCTCCAGCGTGCCAAGCCTCAACGTCATCATCGTCAGATGCAATATCGTCCCAATTGGACTCTTCAGTCCAACGGGAGGCAGCCAGTCCAGCAAGTACCTCTGTCGCTGGCGCCATCTCTGCGGAGTCCACATCGCTACTCTCTGTAGTGTCAGCCGCTTCAGCCGCATTTGCAGCCGCTGCTGGAGTTGTCGATGCTGATGCTGCAGCTTCTGCAGCGTTAAGTTGAGCCTACGGCATTGCAGAGGATTCCGCCACGTCGGTCGTGCCAGGTGTCGTTGGTGCATGCTGCGGCAGGTCGACGTCGACAGCGACATCACACTCCTCGTCCTCCGAGAGCTCGTCGGCGGTCGGCTCTACGAACTCGGCTTCGAAGAGGGGGTTCGTCTTCTCGCCGGTCGTCTCAACATCCGTGTGAACATCGTCCATGACCTCCAGCTCCGCCTTGTCGTGCTTGTGGGCGAGGATGAGGTTGTCTTCGAGGCCATCGAGGTCGTTGGAGATGCCGCAGGTCTTGAAAGCCTTACGGATGAGGTCGGCGGGGACTGCCTCCCATGCGGCCGCGATCCACTGCAGCACCACCTCCGCCGGAGGCTTCTTCAGACTTCCTCAAGGGCGGACAGCGTTGGGTGGAGATTACAGCGCGCATTATGCAAACTGAAGCGAGAACTGGATCGACACGTCAAGGCATCGTAAAGCAAACGCTAAACAAGAAAGTATGAAAAACAGAGGTCAAGAGTGAGAAGGGATTCACCTGCTTGAGTTGTCGATTCACAGCCGAACTCCTCAAACCAACCTGAGTAGGACCGGCGGACATGAGCCTTCAAGCATCAATTCACAGCTACGTCGAGAGGTTGGACGATCGGGGTGTAGCCACCACGTATTACGGCACGTGAGAGTTTGAGGAGACGCATCAACGTCGCCACCCCCTTGGTCAGATGGCCTTTGTAGGAGTCGAGGACGACGAGAGCCTTCTACCGCCCGCCACGGTGCGCAGGAAGTTGCTTCAGAAAGGGGACAAGGACAGTCATAATACAGACCTTCACGTGGTCCTCATCCATCCATCACTTCTCCTGTGCGCAGATGACAATTCCTGCATGCAATAATGAAAGAACCATATAGCGTAGTGTTAGTTTCTAACTCTGGTACATGTAACACTTAGTCACATCAAGACCCGGTCGATACTGACCTGGCGGGACTCGAATCTTCGGGAGTGTCTTGCGCTTGAAGATCACATACGGCTTGAGCTTCTACCCGCCAGCAGTGACCGCCCGCATGATGGTCAACCGCTCCATTTCGTAGCCAGCAGTGCGAACATGTACCGTCGTTGAACCGCGGACTGCCAGTGTAGTCTGTTGGGGCATTTCCAGGAACAAGGGCGTCTGATCGGCGTTGATGATCAAGTCGTCGGCATACTTGTTTACTGTGCGCATCTGGCGTACGAACTCCCAGAACTTCTCGACTTTAGCCTCACAATCTGCAAAATGAGGAGACAACTTACGATGTGAGTGTACATGCTTAAGTTCTTACAGCTCAATGAATGGGAAACCGCAAGCGAAATTGCTACAGAGCTCACATACAAAAAACATAATGCACCGCTGGTTAGGCGCTGGCCCATCTTTGTTTTGACGCGCCGTGTCAATCCCCAATGGGTGCGGAACAGGCAGGTCCAAGGGGATGACGCATGCCAGTCGACACTGGGATGGCTCTTCCGCATGAACTTCCTACTCCACTTCTGCAGACAATTGACGGACACCGCCAAGCCGCACGCACGGTGTGAGAGGAAGCGGTTGTACATCTCCTTCTCCATGTCGGGGAACTTTGCCTTGCGTCCAACACCGATGAGACAACGCCTGCATCCTGCCGCCGCCGACAGCCGCGCCTTGTTCTTCTTCCAGTCGCGTATCTGACAGGGTTGTACCTTGGCCATCTTCACCAGCTTGCGATTCGAAAGCTTCGGGTCAGAGTCAAGATGGGCCAACCAGTACAGCTTTTCCGCCGCTGTGCGCGCAACTCTCTTGCGCCTGGTCCTGCGATTTCTAGGGGAGGGAGGTGCAGCATCCCGGTTAACTCGCGACATGTGGGGACGACGAATGGGCTGAGGGAAAGATGGAACAATAACACGCGGAAGTGTCGGGGCTGGCTCTGGCTCTCCATCGGCAGCATCTTCCTAGTGTAGCTCATCATTCGTCCTGCCGGTCATTGTCCCACTCCTCGGGACGACTAGCAATCGGAGACGATGGATAGGGAGGTGCGGGAGGAGCAGGTGGGGCAGGAGGTGCAGGAGGCGCGGGAGGCGCAAGCGGTGCTGGCGGCGCAGGTGGTGCTGGAGGAATCGATAGAAACAGACGGAGAAGAAATTGACTACCGTAGGGAGGACGATGGGTTCGCAAAACTAAGAGGCCGCTAATAGCACGGGCCGCCATGGCTGAATCTCTGCCTACAAAATCGCCTCGGCGGACTAGTGCCCGAGGCTCTGTTAGAGAGCTTGGACATCGCGAGGGGTTTTCTGCTGGGAAGGCAATACTGGAACACTAAAATGACGCGGGGACAAGAAACGTGGGCCGACCCCCTTCCCGAGCCGCGCACGGTTCTTGACAGCCAAAAAACACCTTCGCATGCTGGCATGCGATGGTCTGATCAAGAACCTTCCATAGGGCATCTTGATATGCCAGATTCTGTCGCAGGTGTTGCGCTGGCTGCATCTAGTGCACCTAGCTGTGCACTCGCAGCGCTGGCAACCGATGGCAGCAATCTGCTGGGTGTTGGCAGTTGCGGCTGTCAGGGATTGGCCACAAATCCTATAGCCCATGCCGAGTTCGATACGTTGGCATGGCCATCCTCTCATCCAAACAGCGCAAAACTCCCTAACTGAAACCCAATGCAAGTCTGGAAACAATCAGATTCAAAATGAATTATACATAACACATGGGCGTTATGTTTTTCCAAGCCGCTGTCATAAAAAAAAAAAAACAAAAAAAAACAAGAGGCGACGAGATCGTCTTAGGGTTGCGGAGCATTTCATGATGAGACTTTATTATACATAATGTTTTATTTCCATCGCAACAAACATTTAATTTTTATTTCACAAACTTGAAAAAAAAACCAGCCCGATCGATTGCAGTAGGTTGCTCCGCAACCCAAAAAAAAAAAAAAAAAAAAAAAAAAAAAAACAAGAGGCGACGAGATCGTCTTAGGGTTGCGGAGCATTTCATGATGAGACTTTATTATACATAAAATGTTTTATTTCCATCACAACAAACATTTGATTTTTATTTCACAAACTTGAAAAAAAACCAGCCCGATCGATTGCAATAGGTTGCTCCGCAACCAAAAAAAAAAAATCAAAAAAAAATCCACCATAGGGTATTATATACGTGGGATTACGGTAACTCCATGTGGATGAGCTGGCATCTGGCTGCTGACGACGACAGCCAAATGAAGTTGACGACCTTGACGGAAACAGAACGACCAATGTAATATCCATAGACTAACATATGTTGACACTTTATACGCTCACCAAGGATAATAATATCTCATAATGCTTTGTGCACATAAGCTAACGCCGCCTAAATTGTGGGCAACGTGTATTGCCTTCAATAACATGAAGACGGCTGTAATGTGGGACTAGTGCATGTGCAACTGGTACAAGTCCTTTGACGTCGTCGCACAAGACTTCATGCAACTGCTAATTGCTCAGCCTTCTTCAGCTCCTGCTCATTGGAGATAGCGTTCAGATGAAGAAACGTTTTGTCAGCATTGAGCATGTGAAATACACAAGAGGATGTGAAGATGGGGGTGGGTGACAGGACTAGTGACAAGAGAGAGGGAGAGAGGGAGAGAGATTGTGCAGGCAGGAATAGGCGAGGGTGGGCCACATTGGGTCATATAGAATTTCGCTACACGAAACAAATCTGAAGATGTCCTGAGCACTCGCCTCCAGCTGTCCCTGAGCAACCAGGACAGGAAGCAAACTTCTCAGCACTAGCTTGCGGATGTATTGTTCACGGCATTGGAAGATATTCACCTGAGCCCATTTGCCACCTGAGATATGACTCACTTGAGACAGAGCAGCCCATTTGTCGAGCACGTGGACGGCCTTGCCGCTGCGCTGCGCCTCCTGAGCCATGGCTATGCCCTCGCCCACGTCCTTGGCCACCCCACACGCTGCCAGCCCCGTGCCCGCGTTCAAGACCTGCAGGGGGGAGACGGAGAGGTCGTGCAAGGAACAGGCGCAGGCTGAGGGAGAGGCAATTCAAGTATGTCCTTGGCCACCCCACACGCTGCCAGGCCCGTGCCCGCGTTCAGAATCTGCTGGGAGGTCGAAGGAGAGAACGTGCAAGGAACGCGTGCAGGTTTAGAGGAAGAGGAAAGTGATGGCTATGCCCTCACCCACGTCCTTGGCCCCCCCGCACGCTGCCAGGCCCGTGCCCGCATTCCGGACCTGGGGGGAGGGAAGGCGAGAGGAAAGAAAGGGGTGGATATGTGAGGCAATGAGGTATGAGGCGTGGCTGGGGCTATCATAGGGCCTTACTGCCCCAGATCCTGACTGCAGGGACAGCAGGGAAGGGGAGAACAGAGGCGAATGTGTGCAGGCATTGAGGACGAGGGAAGAGGGGATTCGTGGGGCATAGGGAGATGAAAGAACGGGGAAATATGTAAGGCAGTGGCAGGGCCGAGCGCAGCCCAGGCCCGTGTTTGAGGTGCCTCAATCGTCTCAGGCAGTGCAGGGCCGAGCCCAGACCCATCATTCCTCATTCACTTCCCCTGCCGCCCCTTCCACTCACCAGCGCATCAGCTATCGCCCCCTGCTGCCCTCCGAACGCCTCTCTGAGCAGCCGTGCGTTGAGAGCCCTGTCTCCCCCCTTCAAGTCCTCTATAGTGCAACGAGCTATGCCGTAGTCCACTGGTCAGGGGAGGGGGTGTGACGTAGGGCACAGGGGAGGGGGTGAGACGTAGGGCACAGGAGAGGCCGTGAGAGACAACAGTGGAGTCTTTCAGACATCTCTGGAATGTGCCCCCTGCAGGTCATGTAAGGCGCAGTGCGCAGCCATAGTCCACAGCTCAGAGGAAAAGGATGGGATAAGAGGGTGTAAACAAAACTGTAGCCATGCGGCTTGATTGTAACCCCCCCCAGGTCCTCCATGGTGCAGCGTACAATGCCAGAATCCATGGTCAGGGCCACAATGAGTGCTATAGGTTACAGGCAAGGCCGTCAGAGACTGCTCCTTGCACTAGGACAAGGCAAAGTCACCTCACGGTCTGTGACTGGGTGGAGACATGGGGTCAAGGGAAGGAGAGGGAGTAGGCAGGGTAGAGGGGCCAGAGCGCAAGCCACCTCCTATGAGGCGCCTTGAAGGGAGAGTCAGGTGAGGGGAGGAACGGGCAGGCATTCCAAAACAACCGTGCAGGTCCCAGCAAAATGAAAGTTTCAGAGAAAGTGGAAGTAAAAGAGTGGGGAAGGCAACAGGGGAGGGCGAGGCAATGAGGCTACCTGATGCAACACAGAGGAGGTTGATAGGTGATTCTTCAGTCAACTCACAAACCACCCACGGCAACAGAGGAGGACGAGGCAACGAGATGCAGCGCAGAAGAGGTCACCAAATGAGACAGGAGGAGGCACTCGAGCTGACTCAGCATGGCATGGCATGTGTGTGCCTGGGCTGGTAACACGTGGCATGACAGACACAGAATGCATGTGGAGTCGGGGCAATCTTACATGGGTCAACGCGGAAAGGGCGCACCGAGTCCGGGGTGACTTCAAGCATGTCCGCTGGGCCTGTGGGAGTGAGTGGGGAAGTTGGGGGGGAGGGGGATGATGAGGGCATGGGGGGGAAGAGTGAGAGCGGAGAGGGGGGGGGAAGGGGGAAAATGAATGGTGCTGTCAGGTGTTCCACCATATTAGCAAGGCAGCAATGGGTTATGCATTGCAAGCTATATGATTCTTGCTTCATACTACTGTCCAAAACTGACCCATGGGGGAGATTTCATCGAGCCCCTTGGAGTGCACGACCAGCGCTCTGCGGATGCCCAGGCGCTGGAGAGAGCGAGCCATGAGGTCTACCTGATGGGTGCAGAGGGGTGCAGAGGCGTGAATATGGGTGCGTTTTGAGACGGAAAGAACCAGGGGGAAAAGGGATCAGGCAGCCGAGGATGAGCGCAGAGGGGTGCAGGGGGGACCATTGTGAACTTTGGCGCAAAGGGATGGTTGCAAGCAAAGGAACTTCCAGTTTCCAGATCCCCTTTGCCAGCAGTTTAGGAATGAATGTGCATTCAGGGCTGGCTTTGACTCACGGTCTCGGGGTTGAAGACCCCAACAAGGGCATATGGAGCGAAGGAGGGGTTGAGCATGGGTCCGAGGAGGTTGAATGCGGTTCTGACTTTGAGGGCCTTGCGCACGGGGGCCACGATGCGCATGGCGGGGTGGAAGCGAGGCGCGTACATGAACCCCACGCCTGCCTCCTGCACGCACCGCGCCACTGCCTGGTGGGGAAACGAGAGAGATTATGGGAGTATTGGAAGGTAGTAAAGCGGGATGTTTGATTTCACTCTGAAGGAGTAGCAGCGAGGCGCATACATGAACCAAACACCGATGCTGCTGAAAATCGCTCAGAAAGGGTTGTAAGCGAGGCGCATACATGAAACCATCTCCTGCTCCCTGCACGCAATGCGTTACTGCCACAAGATGAGGGAAGGAGAAAGACGGCATGATACAGTTTGAAACTATTCAATAGTGGTGGGAGCGCGGGATGCACATAAAGACCATACCTGCAAGGATCCTGCACATAAAGACCATACCTGCAAGCATCCTGCACATAAAGACCATAACTGCAAGCATCCTGCACATGAAGACCATTACTGCAAGCATCCTGCACATAAAGACTATAACTGAAAGCATCCTGCACTTAAAGACTATAACTGCATGCATCCTGCACGTAAAGACCATCCTGCATGCATCCTGCATTTAAAGACCATACCTGCATGCATCCTGCACGTAAAGACCATATCTGCATGCATCCTGCACATAAAGACCATACCTGCATGCATCCTGCACGTAAAGACCATACCTGCATGCATCCTGCACATAAAGACCATACCTGCATGCATCCTGCACGTACTTTGCCATGTGCGTCACTACACTCCCTGATGCACGCCATGCACACCCTATCGCACATGATCACCACGCATCAAGCTCTCACCTCTAGGCCAGGGTCCACCTCCAAGGGGAGAGCCAACACAACACAGCACATGCCGCACATGACTGAGCACGCTCTCAGGCATCATGATTCACGAGTCTCTCTGGACCAAGCTTTTTCTTAGGCGCCTCAAAAATCACCTCCAATTGGAGAGCCAGCACAGCACATGCCGCACATGACACGGCTGAGCACGCTCACAAGCATCACGACTCTCCCTGGACCAAGCTCTCACCTCTGGGCCAAGTGCACCCCATGGCACAATATCACCACGCATCAAGCTGTCATGCGGCCCAAGGTCCACCTCGACCTGGAGAGCCTCCACAGCACATGCCCAATGAGACCGAACACACCCTTGAGCATCATGCGCATGAGTCTTACCTCGGGGCCAAGGTCTCACCTCGGGGCCGAGGTCCACCTCCACATTGAGGGCCTCCAGCACGTCCGCACTGCCACACGCGCTGGACACAGAGCGGTTGCCGTGCTGCAAGGAGGGGAAGATGGGGAAGGGGGTGGGATGATGAAAGAAGCTCGTCAAATCAGGAGTGAAATATCAATTCCGCGCGCACTTGATACCGAACGGCTGTTGCGCTGCAGGAAGAGGTGTGGGGGTGGGATGGAGGGGGTGAAGGCGTTGGGGGGTAGGGTAGGTATATGAGAGGAAAGCATGGGACCTGTTACACGCAGAATCAGCAATCCTACCTAGATGACCTGGTCACAGAATGGATAGGAGCAGGGCAGGTCTTACTCTCCTCGTGTACCGTTACCAAACTCGCCAATCCTCTTCACCAAACACACGGCCGACAGCACTGGAGTTTATAATGTCTAAAGTTCCAACTGCCTCACTGTTCTCGAGGGTACGTGCCTTTGCCACATGTGCCCCGCATGCTGCAGCGAGCACACATGCGCCAGTGCTGATGTTGACTGTATCGAAGCCATCACCCCCCGTGCCCACGATGTCCAGCGTGTCGTCCCCTGCCGCCACCTCCACACACATGCTCCTCATTGCCGCTGCCAGCCCCGCCACCTGGACATGGAGAGAGGGGCGTGGACGAAAGGAGGAGAGGGAGTCCAGAAGAACAAGAATCTAGTCCCAGCACGAGCAGTGTGTCGTCCCCTGCCGCCACCTCCACACGCATGCTCCTCATGGCCGCTGCCAGCCCTGCCACCTGGAGATGGAGGAACAGAATACGCAGGACAGGAACACAAGAATTTAATCACACCAAAAGGAGCTTGTTCTGCCCTGCTGCCACCTCCACACTCGTGCTCCTCATCGCCACCGCTAGCCCTGCACCTGGAGACGTAGAGAAGGGCGTTGACGAAAGGAGGAGAGGGAGTCCAGAAGAACAAGATTCCAGTCCCAGTAGAAGCTACGTGACTTGCCCTGATGCCATCTCCACACACGTGCTCCTCATGGCCCCTGCCAGCCCTGCCAGCCCTGCCAGCCCTGCCACCAAGCTACGTTTCCTTTCCCCTGGTGCCTCCCTGCTCACCTCCTCTGGCGTCTCCCCCTTGGCGCGCAGCAGCACCAGGAAGGCGCCGATCTGCGCTGCCTCTGCTCCGGCGATCAGACCCTCCATGGCGGCCTGCGCCTGCTCCTGTGTCAGGTCCTTGCGCTCTATCAGCTGCTGAATCACCTGGGAGATTATGCATGGGAGAGTATGCAGGGGAGAGTATGCAGGGGAGAGTATGCAGGGGAGATTATGCAGGGGAGAGGGGACAGACGAAGGACAGAGCATGCGACAGAGAGGGGTCGTCGCTGTCTACCGGCTGCTGCAACGCCTGGAAGTGGAAAGGAGGGGCCTGGAAGTGGCTGGAAGTGGAAAGGAGGGGACTTGATAGGACCCAAGGCGCCAGGAACATACTTTTTAGGGCCATCTACAGAAAACCAGTCTGCTTCTTATAAACTACTCTTCAAATTTGATCCGTGTTAGACCTTTCCTTCTCCTTCTCTTTCTTCTCCTGCCCTCACCTGCTTCAGATCGGTGGCGACGGTTGCTGTATGCACGAGCGCCGCTTGCCGTCTGCTGCTGCATGCTTGCTGACGTGTCGTCACTTGAAACGGGCGACTGAACGCGGCGCCAGATGGTCTCTGACGGACCGAAACGCGGCAGAAGGCAACGTCCGTTTCGGGCGCAGAAGGGAAGATCGCAGAAGTGAGGGACGAGGCAATCGGGAGGCCTAGTCGCGAACACGCTCAGATAAATCAGGCGAGAGAGCTACGTAAAGTACTTTTCCAAAGAGCACGAAGCGACGAGCTTGAGCACGCATTGCACTTGCTCCTGTGCAAATAAGAAGGACCCTCAAATTTACTGACTGACTAAGCCTCCGTAATCAGTGAGTGTGGAGCCCAAGCGGAACGCACCTGACGGCAAGATGACCCGCCGCTGCTGCAGCTTACGCTAGGAGACTCTGACCGAAGTCTAAGAGCAGCTGCTTGGGAGGCGTGGGAAATCGCCGCCATGTTTGGGACGAAGCAAAACGACCAGCAACCCAACACTAGAAGCTGAATTCTGCTCACAACCTGATGACCGGACCCTGCAGAGTTCTTCCTGCCAGTGCCTTGGGATTGCTGTGCTTTGGGATTGTCCTGCCTTGAGATTGCCATGGCTTGAGATTGCCGTGCCATTGGATGTGCGACAAGGACTCTGGTAACCAGTGAACCAGACCTAAGAATTTGGCCAAACAAGCACAGCCAGTTGGCATTCAGCCTGCGATCGTGCGACCGGTGCGGGGGGGTGAAGAATCTGACGGCTTGCGTTTGCTCTCCTATCCGTTCACCCAGTTCGCCATCGAGAATATTCGCTCTGACAACGTTTTGAGTGTACTGCAACAGTTTCTCATGCTACGCAAACTGCAAATAGGCTGAAATGACATACATAAAGAGTAGCATATTCCATAGTGGGCTTGGATATTGACACCCTCAACTCAATCATCCACAGGATCAAACAATAGAGGCATGCCTTGTTTTGCATAAAGCGTTATACCTAGCGACGGCTCATGAACATATGAAGGGGAGACACGCCATTGGAGAGAGTTCAATAGATGGCAAAGAATTATCTTGGCTTCTGCAAACGCAAATGCGTAGCCAATGCACTTCCTTGGACCCACAGCGAATGGGAGGAAGGCTAGAGGGTCGGAGCATGCGCCATCCACGCCATCTGAGAGATGTGCATAGAAGCAAGAACAAAGAAAACAAGATGCAAACAAGAAAAGAGATGTTAGAAAGGACGTGAGCTACAACAGTGCACATGATACCATCCTCATACAACCATCACTCAGCTGCTCGTACACTCAGGGTATGATTCAACCATCCATACCCCAGCCCAAGCCCTCCACCCTTTCATCCCAGCCTTACTTCTGAATCTCTCGGGGTTGAAGCAGTGTGCATCCTCCCCCCACCACCGTGTGTCCCCATGCATGAAGCCCACTGCCAGCACCAGCTGAGTGTTGGGCGGGAAGCTGTAGGGTCCCACCTCCACAGGCTGTGCGAGGAGGGAGATAGGAAGAGGGGGCAGGGGGGAAGGTGCCAGTTGGGGGAACAAGATGGCAGAGGGAAACCATTCGGATGGGAACATGGCTAGCTGGTGATATGACAGGCTGGCCAGGGGCTCGCTCGCCAGAGGCTGACGGCTGGCCAGGGGCTGACAAGGTGCTGGCCAGAGGCTGACCAGGGGCTGGCTAGGAGCTGACTAGGGGCTGACTAGGGGCTGACTAGGGGCTGACTAGGGGCTGACTAGGGGCTGACTAGGAGCTGACTAGGGGCTGACTAGGGGCTGACTAGGGGCTGACTAGGGGCTGACTAGGGGCTGACCAGGGGCTGGGCAGGAAACTAGATACAGGGCTGCGAGAATTGGGCTCCAGGATGATTGATTAAAGAATGAGCAATGACCGAGTTGAAACCGGAGGAGGGGGGGGGGGGGAGAATCTGAAGGTCAGGAATGAAAGTGTGCACGCTCTTACATCACCAGGCTGGCTCTCAGCCCGTGTGTCTGACCTTGGTGCTTTGGCGCATGAGCGATGGCACGGGAGGGAAGAGCCTGACGCTCTCATGCAGCACCATGCCCATCTCCTCCAATGCCCCCACATGCTCCCACCGCACACACAGCCGCCCCCCTCCCCCATCTTCTTCTCCTCTTCCCTCCCCTCCTGTCCCCTCCCCTCCCTTCTTTCTTGTGCCCTCTTCGCCCTCCCCTACTTGTCTTTCTCCCTGTGCTCCCCCCCGCCCCACCACGCGCCACACCTCCCGCCTCAGCCGCTGCTGCCACGTGGGATGGCGGGCCAGCAGGAACATGGTCCACATCAGCAGCTTGGCGGTGGTTTCGTGGCCTGAGCAGGAGAGGAGGGAGGGGTGGAGGCGATACCCAAAGGAGGCCCGCAGGAAGAAGTGTTAGAATGAACAACCAAAGATTCCAGCGGATGCTGAAAGCCCAATCACCCCCCTTTTGTGTAACATTAAAAAACCCAACACCAGAAGATGAGAGCGTCACAGCAAGCAGCAGCGCACCAGCAAAGAGGAACGTGATGCACTCATCCACAAGCTGCTGATCTGTCATCTGCTCATTGGTCTCGTCGTCCCGCGCTGCCAGCATGGCGTCCAGCAGGTTGTGGCCCTCCCGGCCCTGCAGAGTATGAGCGGGCGGCACGGAGGGAGGCATGGAGAGCAAATGAGAGATTAGGCATGGAGCAAGTGAGAGACGAACGGCGGATGGGACGATGCAATGAAGGTAAGAGGAAAGAATAATGGTGATTGAGGGAGATGAGAAGGAGCATAAGGATGATGAGATAGAGTGTGGGAGCGATGAGATCATGGATGGAAGGTTGCAACTTGCAGTCAGCCTAAACGCCCGAGACTCTTTCCAGTCACTGTCTTTCCCTCTCCCACCCTGCCTCAACCTTCCCACCCTCCCCACCTCCCCCCCCTCTCCCTCTGCCTTTATGGCCCACCTCTTTCAGTGCAAGCCTCCTCCTCGCCACCAGGCTTAGAGCCAGTGCCTTGATTCGCTCTGATGCAGCTGCTATGGCCCTGTTCTCCTGCGTTGGCAACCAGCTGCAGTTGGGGCAGAGGGGAGGAGAGAAAGAGAGGAAGGGGAGGAGAGGAGGGGGGTGAGACAGAGAGGGAGGAAGCAGCAATGGCCCTGTTCTCCTGCGTTGGCAACCAGCTGAGGAGAGGAGAGGGCAAAGGGATGGGAGGAAGAGTGGCGAGAGCAAGGAGAGGGAGGGAGATAAACGCACGGAGACATTGGCAAGAGGAAGGCGAGGGCAGGGGGCAGGCGTGGCGGGGAGGAAGGCAACAACGCAGCTTGGAGGCACAAAAGGAAGGCGGAAGGCCAGCTCTAGGGAGCAAATTCATGCGCTTGTCACATGAACTAGATTGTTGAGCGGCAAGATTCATTCTGCGCCATACCATGATGCCATGCCGTGGCAGCGGGCGGGCGGCACGTACGTGTAGAGAGGGATGAAGGCACGGCCCGAGAAGACCCTCTGCATGCAGCGCTCGCTCAGCTCGCTCACTGCCATGTACACTGCCCGCGAGTCAACCCCACCAGCCCGCGATTCAACCCCACCAGCCCGCGAGTCAACCCCACCAGCCCGCGATTTAACCCCACCAGCCCGTGAGTCAACCCCACCAGCCTGCGAGTCCAACACATCCGTGTCCACCAGACCATCTCCCTCTTCTCTCTCGTCCCTTCCCCTCACCCCAACCATCCCGCCCCCCTCCACGCCTTCATCCCCCACGGCCTCCCCGAAGGCAGTGAGCCCAATGATGTCGAGGGTCACGGCTGACAGCGCCTCCTGCACGTCCACCTCATGCCCCCTCGCCCAGCCCCCAGCTCGCCCCGACGCATGGCGTGTGGCAGCATGGGCGTGCTGCTCCTCCTGCACGCCCACCTCGTGCCCCCTTGCCCGGCCCTCAGCTCGATTCGACTCATGGTCTTTGGCACGGGCCACGGCTTGGGACCACCGTTGTGCTGCCAGGCGGGCCTGCTGGTCCATGGTGACTGCCATGCGCTGCAGGGAAGTGGAGTATGCCCGGGGTGACTTGAACCAGATACAGCAACATGCACAGAAGAAGCCAACAATGGTGCGATGTGTCCAGAAGATACAGCAAGTGAAGGTGAGAAGACGGCGTCATCAGCGTGGTCCTGAGCCAGATCAGGCGAGTCAGTCGTGTGCAAAAGATACAGCAAACAATGGGCCGTATCTTTTGTTCAGTCAAACCCTGGCCAGTCAAACTTAGGTCAAGGCTGTAACCGAAGGAAGCACCTGGATGCAGAGGGGGGCAAAGGCCGGGTTGAGCATGCGGCGCTGGCGAGCCCAGAACTTGCCCTCTGACAGCGGCAGCCCGTTGCCCAGAAAGCCAAGAATCTGCCGAGAAGCTTCAGTCTTTGAAAAGGAGGCGGCCTTGGTGATAAGGACCTTAAATCGGCAATGTAGAGAAAAAGGTCAGATACGAGGGAGGGAGTGAGGCAGGAACGGAGAGAATGAGGGGGAGCGGGGGGAGAGAAGATGGAGGGAGGGAGTGAGTGATGGGGGGGGGGGAGAAAAGTGCAAAGAAGTGATGGTGGAGGAGAGGCAAAGCTCAAGGCAGAAACAAAAGCAAGATTTATCCGCACTACAAAACAAGGGAAGACCCTCATTATAAATCACGACACGACACCCTGGGTACTGGACGACCTACAGGTACAGTACCTGCTTGACAAGGCTTGGCTCGGCGATGAGGACAGTAGGCGAGGGGCCTATACTGAATCCCACCACGGTGCCGTGCTTGCTGATCCACTCGCACAAGAGGGGGCTGTGCATCCTGGGACCGTACGCCACGCTGGGAGCAGCCTCTGACTCCATCCCTGCCGCTGCTGAGGCTCCATGATCGTCCCTGGTTCTAGACGCTTCGGCGGGAGTTTCTGATTCGTCGAGCACGGGAATGATCGTCGCCTTGGGGTCGCCTGAAGATTTGATCTCGGGTATCTGGCCAATCAGCGGCCTGCCTTGTGGCAAGAGCGTTTTCGCAAGGGAATGAGAGAAGAGGGAGGTGAGAGCTGCGCCTGGCATGTGGCTTGTCAAGAGCACAACGTTGTCAAAGGACAAAGGTGGTCCCCCATCGTGTACGACGGCCAATCAAACGACTCCTTACTATGTTTGGTATCTTCGAAAGAGACCAAGCTCATCAGAGGGTGGAAAGAACTTAACATAAAGGGCAAGAACGGGGAATCCCGCTGAAGGGAAAGAGAAACCAAACGATTCGCACCCGATGACAATAGTGAAAGATTTGAACCAGATGGCAGTATTGAAAGACTTGAACCAGATGACAATAGTGAAAGATTTGAACCAGATGGCAGTATTGAAAGACTTGAACCAGATGACAATATTGAAAGACTTGAACCAGATGACAATATTGAAAGATTTGAACCAGATGACAATATTGAAAGATTTGAACCAGATGACAATATTGAAAGATTTGAACCAGATGACAATATTGAAATATTTGAACCAGATGACAATATTGAAAGATTTGAACCAGATGACCATATTGAAATATTTGAACCAGATTTCAAAACCCTCCTCTACCTAAAGAGAAGGAACAGAATCCCTTACCTGAAGGGACGGAATCCCTTACCTGAAGGGAAGGAACGGAATTTCCCACCTGAAGAAAAGGAACGGAATTCCTTACCTGAAGGGTAGAAACGGAATCCCTTGCTTCTTGCACTGTCGGATGAATCGGTAAGGAGAATAGACCAGACAGTAGAGGCCTGTCCCGGCCACCACGACGAGCACAGCGCCAGCAGCGGCGAGATGTAACGACGAGCTATGTACAGATGATTCCGTAGGAGCCATGGATGGCGGTGACGTGGTTGTCGCGGTGGTTGGAAAGCGGACTCGCAGGAACGAGCTCACGTGCAACGCAGGCGATTCGCAGCGTTTATTGCTAATCAGCTCGCGCGGGGCGAGGTTACTCGCTTAGGCTAATAATGCCTAGAATCTGGTTCTAGCAAATCCGCCAAAAGTACTCCTCGCTAAGGTGAAGAAGAACGGTGTGCTTTGCTGGCTGTGTTTTGTCAGTCTAAGAACCGTTAGACAGACTACAATGGAGTTCAGAATCAACTATCGGGTTCAGTTACCGAGCTCATTATGTAACACTGGTTCAGCCTGTTGCGTTAGTTCGTTTCGCAACTCCTTTCAACACAGGTTTATGCGAAAACCCTCAAACCTTGTCCTTCGATCTACCTACAGAACCACCAATTGCACACGCCACGTTTGGAGCGCGCTGCGGGAATTCAGCGCTGGTCAACCTGAGATTTTGCCAGCGTGTCTAGCGGAATCCGCTGCAGTCGCACGGGTCTGACGATGTGTCGCACAGCCATGTCGTGTCAGCAGCAGATGCCCAATGCGCGTGTACGTTTGCTCCTGTCGTCGCCCACCGAAAGTCGCAGTTTGCGACCTCACCACCCCTGTGCGACGTCACTTGCCCCTCGCAGATTTCCAATAATTTTCGCGCAGTAGTTCGCCTATCATAGGTAGGCACCAAAGCAATCAGCGAAGATCCACTCCTCTGTTACTCTCCACCACCCCTGTGGAACAGCAAGGACCACGCAGATCCTTTCTCACTACTAGTTGTGATCTAGTCTTTCCCTGATCTCACTCTTAGCTCTCTGTAGGAGGTCGGGCAAGTTCGTCACCTCCTAACGCCAGCCCCAACACTCCGCGTAGTAGGCTCCTTCGCCAGCGCTCCCGTCTCATCTTCTGGAAAGAAGAAAAGTTGCGCGCCTGTCCCATTCTCGCAGTTGCGTGGCCTCGGCGACAGATACGGCGACTCTTCGCGAACGTCGCCGCGCAATGGTAACCAGCGCCGACCCGGGGTCAGTCAGCAGCACCGGGCTCGCGTACGTGTTCGACGCGCATTCGCTCCGATGGCGGTGCTTCAAACTCCGAGACCCACTCGGCGACAGCAACGCAGACGGTGACGCCACCAACCGCCGCAGCTGCCGCCGCAGCCGCCGCGTAGCAGAGCCATTCTGCCCGTCGCGGGCGAGACTGTGGACGACGGATAACGTGCCGTGCGTCGAGACGTACGCGGCCCTGCCGTGCCGTGAGAGGCGTCGACTTGACGCACCTGCTCCTGCGCTGTCAGTCGCGAGGGACTCCGACCCTCACTCCCCCTCGCATTCGCCTTGGGTAGCAGGCGAAACCCCAGCGGCAGCTGGCGAAACCCCAGCGACAGCAGGCGAAACCCGAGAGACAGCAGGCGAAACCCCAGCGACAGCAGGCGAAACCCGAGCGACAGCAGGCGAAACCCCAGCGACAGCAGGTCCGTTCCTAGGCGACGATCTGATGGGCATGGAGCCTCTGGCCCGCGTGGTGAGCGGCAGCCGCGATCGCTGCTGCTCCTCCCGCCATTCCCGCCACAATCTGGATCCCTATTCCGACTCGTTCCTCTCCTTCGAGCATCAGCATCAGATCCGGGGCCGTGTGGGTGCGTGGGAGCTTCATTCGCGTTTAGAGCAGCTTCCGTACCGGAACAATTGGCACGTGGTTTCCCTCCACATTCCCGTTCTCAACAGCTCGGACATGAAGTTCATTCGCGGGGCTAGCTCGTGCCCTGGAACAGATGAGGCAGCTTATAACGGATTGCCCGCATCTGCACTCACTACACTTCAGCCTCAATAACCAATACCTCGTTATAGCCGAAGAGGTCGCCACTCTCCTCTCCCGTCTCTCCCACCTCTCCCTTCCCCTCTCCACCCTCCCTCCTTACCTCATTCCCCACCTCCCCTCCCTCCGCTCCCTCTGTCTCTCCCTCTCTGCGCCCCACCATCCCCTCCTCCTCTCCGGCCGCCCCTTCCACTCTCTCTCCCTCCTCTCCCTCCTCCACCTCTCCCTTGGCTCTCCCACCTCGCCACTTTCCGAGCCTCTCTCGCCGGACGTGTTTTCCGGGCTCGGACCGAGCCTGCGGTCGTTGACTTTCCTGGTGTGCGCGAAGCAGAAGGGGAGGGGCGGGAAGAGGAGCGCGGTTGGTGGGGGGTACGGGGAAGCGTTGAATGGGAGGAGCGGGAGAGGTAAGGGGCAGAAAAGGAGAGGAGGGAGGGGGAAGGAGAAGGAGGAGGAGGTGGAGGAGGTGGAGGAGGATGGCGGATGGGTGGGGGACGCGTGGGGTCGCGAGGACGAGGTGGTGTGCTGGGTGCCTGGCTCGGTGTGGTCGCTCTCTCGCCTGCAGCAGCTGACCACCAACGTGGGAGGCGCGTGTGATAGCACGGGACTCAATGCCCTCTTCCCCCCCCATGCCTCTCACTCAACCCCTCCCTCCTCTTCCTGCTCCTTCCTGCTCCTCCCTCAACCAGTCTGTGCCAGTTCTTGCGTGCGCAGTGGCCCATAGTGCCCCATTTTGTTGTGTATTTCCTTAATGATCCCTATCCATCCTCTGGGTGCGATACCCGCTTCCATCCATCCTTTGTCTTCAGCTGCAGCTGCCCCTGATACCCCTCCCTCCTCTTCCTGCTCCTTGCCTCCTTGAGAACAGGGGAGATATAGCATTTGGGTTGTACCCTCTAAGAACTGGGGCGGCATGTGATCTGCAGGAAGGACAAGGGAGAGGGAGGTGAGGCGAGGGAGGAAGAGGAGGGAGGCGGGGAGGCGGGAGAGGGGGAGGGAGAGAGCAGTGAGTTGCGGGCAGCGGTGGAAGAGGTTGGCAGGGAGTTTTAGTCTGTTGGCGAGATTCTCCCCCTGCACATGCAGCTGCTGCAGTCCCCGGCACCTCTTCACCACCGCAAACAGCCCTCTCTCCACCTCCCCGTTCGCCTCGCCCCACCATCGCCTCATCTCCCTCTCCCTCTCCTTCGCTCCCAGCTTCAGCCATTCCTCCCGCCCATACCCCCGCTCCCAGTAGTCCCTATACCCGTCCTCCAGCAGCACGGACAGCGAGGAGAGGGCGGGCTGAGCGGCGGCAGCGGAGAGGAGAGGGCGCACGTGGGAGGGGCGGAGGGGGCGGGCAGCGGTGGAGACTAAGGGCAGGACGAGTGCAGAGAGGCTGGGGTAGAGGGCAATGGTCCGGGCGAGGGAGGCGGGCGAGGGGAGCGAGGCGAACCAGACGGGGGAGAACCAGATGGGGGACAAAGGACGCCACCTGTGCAGCAGGTGTGTGAAGCAGGTGGAGAGGGAGCAGGGGGCGATGGGAGGGGGGATGGTGAAGGGAGCGGAGGAGGAGGGGAGCAGGGAGAAGGAGCGGGTGGAGGGGGGGGAGTGGATGACCCAGAAGGGGGAGTCAGCGGGGTGCCATGGGGAGGAGAAAAGGGGCGGACCGTTGAGACTTGTCATCCCGTGCTCGCGCCTCCTGCTGCCGCTTCTGCAGACTAGATTAAGAGAGAAGGAGGAGGAGGTGGAGGAGGAGGAGGACGAGGAGGAGGGGGAGGAAGGAGGGGGTTGGAGCAGGGCGAGGGGAACCCAGGACAGCAAGAGGGGGTGGAGGGCAAAGGCGAAGCAAGAGGTGTGGAGGCGGTACCAGCGGCGCCACTCGCGGCACACACCGCTCACTCGTGCCTCCTCCATAGGCCCCTGCAGCCGCTGCAGCACGGCCTGTAGCACCTCTGCTGATAACTGCGGCGGCGGCTTGCCATTGTTGGTAGTGCTGGTGCTGGAGCTGGTGTTAGCGCTTCTGCTGCTCATGCTGCTGCTGTCATGCCGCCCATGCTGCAGCTCCTCTGCTGGTAACCGCGAGTGGTTTTGCGGGTCTTGATTCGTGCCATGCTGCTTCGTCGTTATGGCTCTCAGATCCACCTTCTGTGCCCCTCGCACCAACTTCGCCCCCTGCTCCGCCTGCTGCTGCTGCTGCTGCTGCTGCTGCTGCTTGTCATCCTCCTCTCCTCTTGCACCCTGATGCAACGACTGGTACCCTCCCTCCTCCTCCTCCTCTTTCCCCACCTGAATCCACCACTCCCTCTGCTCCTCCTTCTGCGCCTCACTCAACGATGACTCCTTAAACACACTCTGAAACCGAATCCTCCTCCTCTCCTTTGCCCCCATCCACTCCCTCCTCCATCTCCTCTCTTGCTTCTCCATCCCACCCCACTCCCTCCACTCTCCCTCCTCCTTCTCTTGCGCCCACCTCTTCCCCTGGAGGTACCCTTCAAGGCCCATGGGCACAACCACTGGGTGATAATAGTCATGGTCGAAGGAGAAGTGGGCGAGGGAGGAGAAGGCGGAGAGGAAGGAGGGGAGGGCGCGGAGCGGCACACACTGGAAGAGGTCGAGGCGAGTGAGGGAGGAGAAGAGGCGGAGGGAGTCGGGGAGGAGAGGAGTGTCGGAGTGGCAAATTTGGAGGCATTTGAGTGAGGGAGGGCAGGAAAGGGCGGAGTGGTAGTTGTGCATGGAGAGGTTGAGGATGCGGAGGGAGGAGAGGGAGGGGAAGAGGGAGAGGGCGGAGAGGAAGCGCGAGGTGTGAGGGTACGACCCGACTATGAGCGCTCGCAGCTTAGGCAGCACGGGGAGGGGGGCAGGTGGGGGGGAGTGGACGCGGAGGAAGGTGAGGTTGGGGAGGAGGGCGGGGAGTATGGTGGGGGCGTGCAGGGGGGGGTGGGAAGTATCTTCGATGGCCAAGTGGGTTAGGCAGGGCAGATGGCCCATGAATGCAAGAGTATGCGCCTGCTGGGCCAGCTGCTGCCGCCGAGCCGGCTGCTCTGACCCTGCCTGCCCATGGCTTTTCACACTGCGCAGCACAAGCTCCTCAAGCAAAGGGAAGAAACACGCTGCTGCACCACCTGCACCACATGCGTCCTCCCCTTCACCACATGCGCCCTGCCCCACATCCCCCTCCCCAGAATGCTCCCCCATCTGCTCCCCCCGCCCCTGCACCGCCACGTGGGGCGAGCCATGGATCTTGAGCGTCTGCAGCTGGGGGCACAGGCGTCCCCATACAGCCAATGGGATCACGCCAGCTGTCCCCGTGAGGGTCACGTGGCGGAGGGAGCCGGAGAAAGGGACTGCTTCGCGGCAGAATGGAGGCTCGGCGAGACCAGATTCGGGTTCGGTGGGGCCCTCACCGCACACGTGCAGGTGAGTCAAGCGGGGGCAGTGGGAGAAGAGCGCGAGGGAATGGGGGGACAGGAGAGGGGCGGCGAGGGGGATGGAGAGGTGAGTGAGGGAGGAGAGGGAGGAGAGGCACGGAGGGAAGGTGCGGTGAGAGGGGAGGGAGAGAGAGGTGAGGCTAGGAAGGGAGGCTAGGCACTGGTGGTGCTGCTGGTGCTGGTGCAACGAAGAGGAGGAGGAGGAGCAGCAGCAGTAGCAGGAGCAGGAGGCGGAGGGAGGGGTTGAGTGAGAGGCATGGGGTGGGAAGAGGGCATTGAGTCCCGTGCTCTCCCACGCGCCTCCCACGTTGGTGGTCAGCTGCTGCAGGCGAGAGAGCGACCACACCGAGCCAGGCACCCAGCACACCACCTCGTCCTCCCGACCCCACTCGTCCCCCACCCATCCGCCATCCTCCTCCACCTCCTTCCCACTCCCTCCTCCATTCCTCTGCCCCTTTCCTCCCCCATCCCCTCCCCCATCCCCTCCCTTATCCGCTCTCCCATCACGGTATTTTCTCCTTTTCTCTGCGGGCCCTTTCTGCTTCGCACACACGAGGAAAGTCAAGGACCGCAGGCTCGGTCCGAGCCCAGCAAACAGGTCCGGGGAGAGAGGCTCGGACAGCCCCGAGGCAAAAGAGCCAAGGGAGAGGTGGAGGAGGGAGAGGCGGGAGAGAGAGTGGAAGGGGACGCCGGAGAGGAGGAGGGGATGGTGGGGTGCAGAGAGGGAGAGATGGAGGGAGCGGAGGGAGGAGAGGTGGGGAAGGAGGCAGGGAGGGAGGTCGCAGAGAGGGAGGGAGAGGTGGGCGAGATGGGAGAGGAGCGGTGCGACTTCCTCACTTATATCGATGTAATATCATGGATTTTAGTGCTGTGAACACATCCACTATGTGCCCCTCCCAAAGCGTACCACCATTAAACATTAAGAGTTTACGTACAGTGGTTGGAAAGCCCAAAAACCCTAATTAGTGCAAAACATCCGGACAATTGTTTCCGTCACTGTAGCTCCATGCAATCCTCAATAGTGGCTTCCCCACCCGCCCGTCCCACTATTCCAGCCCGTTACGGTTTTCCTCTTTCACCCTCACTCGCATTTACAAACATGTACATTGTATACAATACTGCCCATTTCAGCCAGCATTTCTTTGCGGCCACCATCCGCCTAGAAATTTTGACAGCTGCCGTCTCTCTCTGCCCTGCTTCCCGACTGCACTGAGCTGCCTTGCTCCTGTCATTCTTCCTCTCCTCCTGTCTTATTCTTACACCTCGCCTCCCTTGCCCTTCGTGTGCTTCTATCCTTTCCTTTGTGCCCCTCCCTGCACCTCCTTCTTGCTCTGGTTCGGTTCAACCCTCTCTTGCCCGCTACTGTGCTCTGCTGCCGCCCTTGCTCGAGTCACGGGACCCTGGTAGTCCTTACCGCCGCTTGCCGGACCAGCTGTCTCCCCTTCAGCCAGTCTTGAGAACCCTTTTCCTGCCCCGGCAGCCGGGCCACATTTGTGGCATGATCCTTTCTCATCTTCTAGTACAATCACCCCTGACTCGTGCACGTCTTTCACTCTCCAGCGCTGGTGGGTCACACCCACGTCTTATGTGTCTCCTTTCGCTCTCCGCATGTATACTTCCTCCTCTACCTCCAACGCAGGTGCCTTTCCTTTTCCTTCTTGTCCCTGCTGCTGCTTGTAGCGATGAATGTCCTGCCGCTTTGCCACCTGCAGGCTCTCCAGTGCCGCAGGCAGCAGGCCTTTCAGGTACTGAGCCCTTTTGAGGCGCCTCAAGAGCCCTAGCGTCTGCCACGACGACCTAGTTCTCTGCCGTTCCTTCTGTCACGGTGTCAGTCAGCAGCTTCGGAGCTGCACCCGGCAGCACTGGCTCCTTCCCAAAGAGCAAATAGTAGGGGGACATGTCCCTCAAGGCTTCCTGTCTGCTGAACTGGTACCCCGCCATCACCCAGGACAGCTGCATGTCCCAACCCGCCTTTCTAGCCTCCCCATACGCCCTGAGCCCTTTCTTCAGTGTCTGCACCAGTCGCTCCATAAGCTCGTAGTACGATGTCACCCTGTGTTGAACCCGCACTGCGTCAGCAGCTGCTGGAACTCTCCCTGGAACTCCTAGTAAGTCACCACCTCCCCACACGCGCCAAATTGAGTCAGCACCATCTCTTCATAGGCTTCTGCTACTCCTGATGCCACCTTGCTCACCAGTGCCTTCGCTTCCGCCCACTTGCTGGTGTGCTCTATCATCAACAATATGTACCTTCTGCCCCTCATGCTGACTGCTCACGCACCAGGTCTATGGACTATCGGTATCCCAGACCGACAATCAGCAGTGGGCTGAGTGTTGCTTTCTCGTGCTCCAGCTTTACTCGGTTCCTGATGCACGCCTCACACAGCTCCACCTAGTCCCTGATCTCTTTCCTCCGTGCCTCTCCTCCCTCTCCTCCCTCACTCTCCTCTCCATCCCCCTCGCCGCCCCTCTCCTATCCCCCCACTCCCTTGCGCTCTTCTCCCACTGTCCCAATTTGTCTCATCTTCACGTCTGCGGAGAGGGTCCCACTGAACCTCCCTTCAGCCCCGAATCAACCCATACCTCAGGCTCCATGCGCCACCTCACTCTCACGGGGGGAGCTGGCGTCATCCCATTGGCTGTGTGGGGCCGCCTTTGCCCCCAGCTACAGTCACTCAAGATCCAAGGCTCGCCCCACGTGGCAGTGCAGGGGCGGGGGAAGGAGCGTGGGAAGGAGTGCGGAGAGGGATGTGGGGAGGGTTGTGGGGAGGGCTGTGGGGAGGCGGATGTGGGGAAGGGCGCATGTGGTGAAGGGGAGGGCGAATGGGGTGCAGGTGGTGCAGCAGCGGAGGCACCGGCGTGCTTCTTCCCTTTCCTTGAGGAGCTTGTTCTGCGCAACGTGAGACGCCATGGGTACCAACAGGCAGGGTCACAGCAGCAGCAGCAGCAGCAGCAGCAGCAGCAGCAGCAGCAGCAGCAGCAGCAGCAGCAGCACACTCTTGCGTTCATGGGCCTTCTGCCCAACCTAACCCACTTGGCCATCGATAACACCCCATGGCCTTCCCATCCCCCCCTGCACGCCCCCACCATCCTCCCCGCCCTCCTCCCCGCCCTCCTCCCCGCCCTCCTCCCCGCCCTCCTCCCCGCCCTCCTCCCCGCCCTCCTCCCCAGCCTCACCTTCCTCCGCGTCCACTCCCCCCCACCTGCCCCCCTCCCCGTGCTGCCCAAGCTTCGATCCCTCATAGTCGGGTCGTACCCTCACACCTCGCGCTTCCTCGCCGCCCTCTCCCTCTTCCCCTCCCTCTCCTCCCTCCGCATCCTCAACCTCTCCATGCACAACCAACAGTCCGCCCTCTCCTGCCCTCCCTCACTCAAATGCCTCCAAATCTGCAACTTGGCCACTCCACTCCTCCCCGACTCCCTCCGATTCTTCTCCTCCCTCACTCGCCTCGACGTCTTCCAATGTGTGCCGCTCCGCGCCCTCCCCTCCTTCCTCTCCTCCTTCTCCTCCCTCTCTCACTTCTCGTTTGAGTGTGGCCCAGTGGTGGTGCCTGTGTGTCTGGAGGGGTATATCGAGGGGAAAACCTGGGCCCGAGAGGAGGAGGGGAGGAAGGGGTGGCGGTTTCAGAGTGCATTTGAGGGGTCGTCGTTGAGTGCGGAGCGGAAGGAGGAGCAGAGGGAGTTCTGGAGGCAGGTAGGGGAGGAAGAGGAGGAGGAAGAGAAGCAGCAGGTGGAGGAGGAGGTGGGGGAGCGAGGGGCGTGGGTGCTAGGGGTCCAGGAGGTGGGGCTAAGAGGGTCAACCAAGAACCGGAATGGCAAGAAGCTTTATCCTCCCAGTCAGTCTCAGTCACCACCAGAGCTGTTACCACCGAAGGTGTTATCACCAGAGCTGTTACCACCAGAGGTGTTACCACCAGAGGCGTTACCACCAGAGGCGTTACCACCAGAGGTGTCACCACAGCATGGTCAGTACAACAGCAGCAGTGCCAATGCCAGCACTCCCAGCAGCGTGCAGCTGTTGCAGCTACCACCAGAGGTGGTACAGCACGTGTTGCAGCGGCTGCAGGGGCCTTCAGATCAGGCTGCAGTGAGAGGTGTGTGCCGCGAGTGGCGCCGCTGGTGCCGCCTCCACACCTCCACCTTCGCCCTCGCCCTCCACCCCCTCCTGCTCTCCTGGGTGCCCCTCGCCCTCATCCAACCCCCTCCCGCCGCCTCCTCCCTCTCCTCTTCTCTCTCCCCTCACTCCTTCTCGTCAGCCCCCTCTTCGAGAGTGGTCTGCAGAAGCGGCAGCAGGAGAGGGCAGCACGGGACGACGAGTCTCAACACTTCCCCTCGTCTCCCCGCCTCCTCATGGGACCCCGCGGAATCCCCCTTCTGGCTCATCCACTCCTCCCCACCCACCTGCACCCTCTCCCTGCTCCCCTCCTCCCCGCCTCCCTTCACTTTCCCCCATCCCTTCACCATCCCCCCTCCCATCCCCCCCTCCTCCCTCTCCTCCTGCTTCACCCACCACCCGACCCGCTGGCAACCTCTCTCACCCATCTGGTTCGCCTCTCTCCCCTCGCCCTCCTCCCTCGCCCGCACCCTCTCCCTCTACCCCGCCCTCTCTGCGCTCGCCCTTCCCTTGGTCTCCACCGCTGCCCTCCCACTCCACCCCTCCCACGTGCGCTCTCTGCTCTCCGCCGCTGCCGCTCAGCCCGCCCTCACGTCCCTCTCCCTCCTGCTAGAGGACGGGTTCAGGGGAAGCAATGACTGGGGGTACGGCCGGGGGGAGTGGCTGGGCTATCCTGGGGAAGCGAGTGACAGGGAGAAGGAGATGAGGCACTGGTGGGATGAGGCGAATAGGGAGGTTGAGGGAGGGTTGCTAGCGGTGATGCAGAGGTGCCGGGGACTTAAGGAGCTTCACCTGCAGGGGGAGACTCTTGCTAAGAGGCTCAGGCTCCCCCACTCTCTCTTCCGCCACTGCCCACAACTCACTGCGCTCTCCCTCCCCCTCTCCCGCCTCCCCTCCTCCCTCCTCCACCTCTCCCATCTCACCTCCCTCTCCCTCGCTTTCCCTCTGGACCACATGCCGCCCCACTTCGCCTGCCCATCCCCGTTCGCCCACCTGCGCTCGCTGCGCTCGCTCTCCCTCCACGTGCGACACATCCGCACCAGCTACGAGCGGGACAGCACGGACGGCAGCAGGTGGAGAGGCGTGTCGGACGATCTCTTTCTCGGGCTCAACGCCTCGTCCCTCGCGTCCCTCTCGCTGGACCTCCCCACCGGCATGCCTGCGTCCTTCTCGTGCCTCACTGGCCTCAGCAGCTTGAACGCGAGCCAGGGGATTCTGGGACTGGAAGAGATTGAAGAGGGAGGGGTAGGTGAGGAGGAGGAGGAGGAGGAGGCGGAGGGGGAGGAGGAGAGGGAGGAGGAGGGGGAGGAGGAGGAGGGGGGGGAGGAGGACGACGATGTCAAGCAAGGGTCTGATTGCAGCAGCGGGCTGGGCAGCACAGACATGGCGTCACGACTCAATGACGAGCGGCTGCTACCTCTCTGCAACCTCACGTCCCTCTCCCTCCCCCACTACCACTCCTTCCCCCCTCTCGTCCGCCACCTCACCCGCCTCACCTCCCTCTCCCTCCCCTCCCTCAACCTCCATGACCACCACCGACACCCCAACGCTCCCCCACTCTGCTCTCTCCGCCACGGCCTCTCCCGCCTGACCCGCCTCCAAGAGCTCTACATAGGCTGCAGCAACGTCTGCGAGGGCTCCGAATCCGCCTGCCTTCCCCGCTTGCCCCGCCTGCGCCGCATTCGCGTGCAGTGCCCCGATGAGACGGTCAACATTGGGCGGCTCATTGCCAAGGTGGCGGGGTCCCTGGAGCAGCTGGACGTGCAGGCCGACTGCCGCAACTACTCATCCGGAAATCTCACTCGCACGGTACAATGGTGGGGGGGGAACAACCATGGAACCGGCTATGGAAACGGCGCTGAATGGACGTGTCCGGTGTTTCGGAAGCTCAAGGTGCTGCAGCTGGCGACCTCCGGCCCGGCCTCTCGAGTGGACATGGCTCTGCTCCCTGCCCTAGAACACATGGCGTGTGCCCGCAACCGCAGTGTGGCGTGGGGGGTGGAGCACGGTTTCTCTGCCAACCTCCGCTTCCTGCACTTGGACAGTGCGAGGATCAGTGGGTACGACGGCGACCCTCAGCTGACGCAGCTGACTTCGCTCACCACGCTCGTTGTCGAGAATGCTGACTGCCGGGACTTCCTTGCATGCCTCTCCGCCCTCTCCTCCCTGCGCACCCTCCGCCTCTCCAACCTCCTCAGGGGATTTTCCGAGCCCTACCTCACCTACCCCCCTCTCCTCGCCACGCTTCAGATTTGCCGCTCCGACCTGCCCTACCTCCCAGCCTCGCTGGTTAAGTTTGCCTGCCTCACTCGGCTTGATTTGCTGCACTGGCGCTGCCTGCACTCGCTCCCGCCCTTCCTCTCCTCCTTCACTTTGCTCCGCCACTTCAGGGTATCCTGCAATGGCCCTAGGCCCAGCGTGCCTGCCTGCCTGGGTGACTTTCTCAGGGGTAGAGATTGGTATGAGCATTCAGCATGTGACGGTAGCTTTTCGAGTTGAAGTCAAGCCAGGTCAGGCCAGGCCAAGAGAGAATGGTGCTGCTGGTTGGGACTGGGTTGAGTCACGTTGTTCTTCACACCGGGTAGTGCGTTCTTGACTGGGACGGAGCACCTCTGCAATCAAGGAAATACAGAACCCACTGAATCTACATCACATTGCATTACTCTATATAAATGCTGCAAAACAAATGACACCTGTTATGGAAACGCTTCCTTCCCTCCTTTGATCTCCCTTTGCTGCTTCTGTCTTTTAGATTTCGTTGGCTTCTCTCCTTGGTGGTCTCCTTGTTAAAGTAAGAACTGAATAATAGAACTAGAAGTGGAAACCTACAAGTACTAGTTGGTTGTACTCACTAGAAGCATACCTCAGTCTAGCCTATAACTTGTACACAGCTAACATCTATAAGTTGACACACCCCTTAGGCTAGACCAGGGGTGAAGCTAAGCAAGAAGCAAACAGCTCAAGGTGGCACTACTAGTCCAACCACTGAGGCAGGGGTCTGGAGACCAGTCAGCAAGGGTACAAACAAGACTAAAGCAAGCCAGGGCGGCACTACTAGTCCAGCCACTAGAGGTAAGGCCACAAGGCCAGTCTGACAGGCATATATAATAGAGAGTACACAATCAGGATCCTAACAGGTGAGAAGCTACAGGAACAAGACCAAGCTGTACACAGTGCCGCTGATGATCTTTAGGCGCAAGCGCCTTAGTAAAGATATCAGCTGTGTTGGCACCTGAGGCCAAGTGAACTACGCGGGCCTGGAGGCGCTGCTGTAGCTCGCGCAGGAGGAAGTACCGCAGCAGGATATGCTTCGCTCTGCCCTGAAGCCGAGGCTCCTGACACAGGAGTATCATGGCCCTCTTGTCAGCGTACAGGACCGGGGCAGAGCTAGGCCGCTCACCTAAGTTTGTGAGCTAGAAGGCCAGCCAGCGGAGCTCCTGTGCCGCCATGGCACCAGCGTAGATCTCAGCCTCACAGGTGGACTGAGCCACAGACGACGAGCGAGTGGATCTCCAAGAGATAGCACCCGAACCAAGGCTAAAGCAGTAGCCCTGCGACGACCTGAGCATCTCAGAGTTGTCTGCCCAAGAAGCGTCTGTGTGCCCAGTAAGGACCACTGGCCTGCGTCCTCCTAGCACTAACCCCATGCCCGATGTACTAGCAAGATAACGCAAAACCCTCTTAGCGGCAGACCATTGCTGAGGTCGGTGTCTGCCTGTAGCCACGAAGTGAGCCAGGATGCTGAGAGGGTATGCGAAATCTGGGCGAGTGCAAGTCATCAGGTACATGAGGCAACCCACCAGCTCCGCGTAGGGGCCACTGGGCTCTACGGGCTCCTCAGGAACGGGAGAAGAGAGCCCATGGTCTACAGGTAGAGGTGTGGGCTGTGCGGAGGAGAACTGAAGACCGAACCTCTGAAGGACCTGACGCACCAAGTGTGACTGTGTCAGAGTGATGGTGCGTGCTGCTCTGTCCCTAGAGATCTGCAGGCCAAGATAGCGACGCAGCTCTCCAAGGTCAGTGCAGGTGTGTCTCTTCAGCAGCTCGACCTTCACAGAGGCCAGTGCATCCCTGTCAGCAGTAGCGAAGACCAGATCGTCTACGTAGACAAGGATGTAGAACGGGGTCTGGCTGGAACGCACAAACAGCGAGGGGTCAGCAGAGGACGGAAAGAACTGCAGGTCTGCTAACGTGGCATGCATCATGTCGTGCCACTCGCGAGGAGCCTGACGCAGGCCGTAGACCGAGTGCCTGAAAAGCCACAGGGTCCCAGGGGGGAAGGTACCAGTGAAGCCCTGTGGTCGGCGCAGGTAGACCTGCTCGTGTAGGCTGCCCTGAAGGAAGGCAGTAGAGAAGTCGAGGGAGTGAAGCTCGTAGTTGCGCTGTGCAGCCACGTGTAGTAGCGCCCGAAGAGTGGTCATCTTCGGGGTCGGGGCGAAGGTCTGGAAGAAGTCAACCCCCTCACGCTGGCTGAAGCCTCTGGCCACGTAGCGCGCCTTGAAGACAGGTGGCTCTCCAGGGGGGGCGCTTCACCTTGAAGAGCCACCGACCATCGACTACGTTCACCCCAGGCGGGGGAACTGCGTCGACGTAAGTGCCGGTGGACCTCCAAGATGCCATCTCCTGCTCCATGGCAGCTATCCACTAAGAGGCCCAAGGTCCCGAGGTGGCCTCAGCATAGGTGCGAGGGGTCGGGATGTCGAAGGCGTCTGGGTCATCCTCAGGGACTAACAGCATGGAGCAGAGATAGGGAGCAGCCTCAGAAAGGAAAGCAAGCTCGTACTGCCTGTCCTCTAGAACGTTAGTGCCAAGGCCAGGAGCACCCTCGACAGACGGAGGACGGGCAGGGTCAGAGACCAGAGCGGTAGCGTAGTCAAGGCGGCGAGTAGAGGCAAAGGCAGCGACAGCAGCGACAAGCGCGTCAAGGCGCGAGACAGGAACAGCAGGGTCGGTAACAAGAGAGGCAAGGACCCGAGGGACAAGGGGACGAACAGCACGGAGGTAGTCAGAGAACGGAGGAGGTGCAACAGCAAGGGACGAGGGAGGAGGGGACGGGAGGAGGGGAGGACGAGACGAGCGGGAATGGAGCAACATAGGGTGGGTGGGCAGGACGGGAGAGACGGGACAAGCACGGGAGGGACAGCGAGACCAAACGTGAGACGGAGGTGTAGGGTCAGGGGACAGCGGAGGGGACACAGGAGGGGAATGAGGAGGAAGACGGACCGGAGACGAGTCCGGCGGCGGGAACACAGGACCGTAGACAGGAAGGTCAGCAGGCAGTGGGGGAGACACCGGCGCGCGGTCCGGGGAGGGAAGGCCGAGCAGGCGGAGAGCGGAGACCGGCGGCGACGGCTGCTGCGGCTACTGCGACGGCTGGGCCGGAACCCTCGGACCGGCAGAGGCAGGACGACCGTCGGCAGAACACTCAATAGCACCACCCCCAGAACCAACACCCCCAGAGCGAGAACCCCCTCCAACACAAGCGACACCCCCAGGAGGCGCAAGACGAACACCCTCCTCAACGCAAGCACCCCCAGGGGCCAAGAGCGGCGGCGGCAGTAGCGGCGACGACATCGGCGGCGGCGGCAGCGGCGACGGCGGCGGCGGTGACGGCCGCGGCGGCGGCGACGGGGTCGGCGACTGCGACAGTGGAGGCGGAGACACCGGGGAAGGGGGACACGGGAAGGACGGGCCGGGGGTACCACTAGAGTCAGCAGACTCCTCAACGAGGACAACCGACGGGAGGGGAGTGACGTGAGAGACACCAGACGGGGCAGGACGAGGCGGGAGAGGGGTAGGGGCTACCGGGGGAGAGGGAGCAAGGAACAGGGGGGGGGCAACTGGGAGACCTCGGTGAGGGAAGCGGCGGTAGAAGGAGACAGACTCGTCAAAGGTGACGTCATGAGAGTGGAGGAAGCAGTGAGACGGCAAGTGGTAGAAAAGCCAGTCAGACGAGTCCAGGGGGAAACCGAGGAAGACACAGGGGACAGTGCGGGCAGTGAGCTTGTCCGTGCCAGAGGCACGAACGTGAGCAAGGCAGCCCCAGACGTGGAACACAGACGCGTCACCGGGGGACCCAGTCCAAAGGAGGGTCGGCAAAACCTGCGGCCACTGGGAGCGTGGCCACAAGTTAAGCTGGTGAGCAGCGTAGCGAACAGCGAACGTCCACAGAAAATGGGGGGCATCGGCATGAATCATGGAGGTACGGGCGACCTCCATGACCAAGCCGATGCAGCGCTCAGCAACCCCATTCTGCTGTGGCGAGTCTGGCAAGGTGTACGACTGGGTGATGCCCTCCGCACGACAGAACTGTCCAAGCCGACCAGAGGCGAACTCGCCGCCACGGTCAGAGTGGAGACACAACACGGGGAGACCGCTGTGAAGACGCGCAGCTACAACCTACGGGAGAAGAACGTCGGGCACGTCGGCCTTCCGCTCCAGGGGAAACACCGTGGTGTAGCGCGTGTAGTCGTTGACGAGCACAAGGAAGTAGCGCTCACCTCGCGGTCCGGGGACGGGGCCAGGGCCTCAAACGTGCAGGTGCAGGGTCCGAAGGGGGGCAGTAGCAGGGCGCAGCGAGGAGGAGTGAGGAGAACGACGGAGCCGGCCCTCGACGCAAGGTGTGCACGGTGGCGCAGTCGAGGGAGGAAGGGCAGGGAGCGATGCAGGGAGACCTAAGACAAGACCGTGCTGGGACATGAGACGCAGACGTGGGAGTGCAGGGTGACCTAGGCGGTGGTGCCACAGAAGGGACGGGTGAGTGATGAACCGATACGAGCAAGCTGCAGCGACCTGGGAGGACGCACCAACCGGGGGGGAAGCGGTGTCTAGGGTGAACAGACCGGACACCGGGTCCCGGGGGAACGTCGCAAGAAGGGAACCTAAGACAGACTAAGAACAGACAGCGAACCGCTCGTGCCTGGGGAACGTGGTGGTGACGCCGAGGTCCTGGAGACAGCCGACACCAACCAGGTTCCTCGAGAACGAGAGAACGTGGAGACCTGTAAGGGAGCCCGAGGGAACTGCTGGACAGGGAAGGGGCGTAGAACTGCGAGCGACGACAGGACCCGCAGAGGGGTCAGCGAGAGAGACAACAGCAGGCGTAGCAAGCGGCGTGAGCGTGGAGCGGTCGCGGAAGAAGCAGGCAGAGGCACCGGAGTCGAGAGTGAAGGACAGCGAAGCATCGGCGGAGGCCGGGAACGGAGCCGGTGCAGAGACTAGGCTAGGCAAATGAGGCAGTCCTACGCCTGACGTAGTAGGGGAGGCTAAGCTTCACAATGGGGCAACACCTAAACTAGAGTACACAGGGTAATAAGATCCAGCAACACTAGAAGCGTCAGAATATAAGGCATGCAAAGCAGCACCTATCTGATCCATGTCTAACTCAAAGATCGGCACGCCCTGGCGGAGCAGGCTGTGCCAGTCGGGGAGGTCCGGGGCCGGGCCAAAGCGACGACGAAATGATCGTCGAGGCGGCGGAAACAGCGGGCGGTCGGGTGCGGGCGGCGGCACAGAGTGCCGCGAAGAGGCCCCGTTTGAAGCTGGTACTGGCAAGTGATTGCACCGGAGCCGCCGGTAGACACCGAGCTGCGCGGGCCGCCACCACGGCCACTACCTCCGGAGGTGCCGGGCCAACCAGGCGGGAGACGGGCCCATGGCTGCGGCGGCTGCTGCTGGGGCTGCTCCTGCTGCGGCTGGGGCTGCTGCTCCTGCCCACCGGTGGTAGTCCCCTCAGGCGGACTACCGTCACGACGACGACCACCAGCACCACCTGCACCACCACCCCTACCTCCCTGACGACCACGGCCATTGCGGCGCGAGCGCTGCTGCGGGTGGACTGCAACAGCCGTCTCGGTGAGAGGGGTCACCATGGCGACCGCAGCCGAAACGTCAGTGAACGTGCAGTGGGAGGGGGCACAGCCGTGAAAGATAGAGACTGCCGGCGCACCGCTCGACTGAGCGATAGTGAGGGTATCGACAAAGGCGGTGAGGGTGAGGTCACCCGGGTGCTGGCTAAGGAAGTGATCGCGAGCACTAGCGAGGCGGTCTGGCAGGCGCATGGCGATAAAATATAGCGTCATGCAGAAAGGGGGGGGGAGCGCAGTGAGCTGCGCAGCAGTGCTGGCAGTGCAATAGCAGGTCTCTAGGGCACGCAGGTGAGTGGCAAAGTCTGCGACGGTAGGGAAGGCTGCAAGGTCTGGGAACAACATCGGGAAGAGCAGGCGGCCAGCAGAATCAGACGCGGGTGTGGAATAGCGAGCAATAACGGCGTTGAAGTAAGCTTTGGCCGTCTCAACAGTAGCAAAACGCGAGCGCTCAGACACAGGGAGGGCATGGCTAATAGCAACCTGAGCGACTGCATCGCGGGAGTCCCAGACCGCACAGGCAAGCGCAGCAGTAGAGAAGGTCTCACGGTCATCAGAGGAGGGGTCAGCAGGGAGGGGAGCAGTTGCGGGGGGGCGGGGGAGCAAGCCATTGACATGGACAACTTAAGAGTGGCCATCCTGGCGTTGACCTTTAAGGTGGCGGCGGAGATCGGAGAGCCAGGCGGCGAAGTCAACCGCATGGCCCTCGGCGTCCAGTCGGAGCACGAAGTCAGCCATCGTGCAGGGTCAGCGGCACAGCTCCACAGCTCCGCATGAACACAGCGACGCAGGGACACGGTGGCGGCACTCTCCAGCACGGCGGCTGCGAGGCTCCCCAGCGCTGGCGAGCAGAGTAGACGGAGCCCGAGGTGGCACGGCAGGCCGAGCAGGCACGGAGAGGGCCGGGGCGAGAAGTGGGAGAGGCCTGGCAGACGCGGCGGCGCCAGTCAGGCGCGACGGGCCAGGAAGGCGCGGCGGGGCCAGGGAGGCGCGGCGGGGCCAGGCAGGCGCGGCGGGGCCAGGCAGGCGCGGCAGGGCCAGGCAGGCGCGGCGGGGTCAGGCAGGCGCGGCGGGGCCAGGCAGGCGCGGCGGGGCGAGGCAGGCGCGGCGGGGCGAGGCAGGCGCGGCGAGGCCAGGCAGGTGCGGCGGGGCCAGGCAGGCGCGGCGGGGCCTGGCAGGCGCGACGGGGCCAGGCAGGCGCGGCGGGGCCAGGGAGGCGCGGCAGGGCCAGGCAGGCGCGGAGGGGCCAGGAAGGTGCGACGGGGCCAGGCAGGCGCGGTGGGGCTAGGCAGGCGCGGCGGGGCCAGGCAGGCGCGGCGGGGCCAGGGAGGCGCGGCTGGGCCAGGCAGGCGCGACAGGGCCAGGCAGGCCGCGACGGGGCCAAGAGGGCGTGGCGGGGCCAGGCAGGGCGCGACGGGGCCTAGCGGGCGCGACGGGGCCCAGGAGGGGCGTGACGGGGCGAGGAGGCGCAATGGGGCCCAGGAGGGGCGCGACTGGGCTAGGAGGCGCGACGGGGCCCAGGAGGGGCGCAACGAGGCTAGGAGGCGCGACAGGGCCCATGAGGGGCACGACGGGGCCCAGGAGGGGCGCGACGGGGCTAGGAGGCACGGCAGGGCCCAGGAGGGGCGCGTCGGGGCTAGGAGGCGCGACGGGGCCCAGGAGGGGCGCGACGGGGTTAGGAGGCGCGACGGGGCTAGGAGGGGCGCGACGGGGCTAGGAGGGGCGCGACGGGGCTAGGAGGCGCGACGGGGCCCAAGAGGGGCGCGACGGGGCTAGGAGGCGCGACGGGGCTAGGAGGCGCGACGGGGCCCAGGGGGAAGCGGCGGGGCCTAGCTAGGGTACGGGCGGAAGCGGTAGGTGGGGAATTCTAACCTACGCGTGATACCATGTTAAAGTAAGAACTGAATAATAGAACTAGAAGTGGAAACCTAGAACTTTGGTTGTACTCACTAGAAGCATACCTCAGTCTAGCCTATAACTTGTACACAGCTAACATGTATAGCTTGACACTCCTCAATCTTGTTGTCAACCTTGGTCATGGAGGAGCTAGATGGGCTTGCTGGCCCACTTGAAAGATCAATTATCATTAAACACCCAAACTATCGTTCCTTTTCTCCCCAGTGTTCAGGATGCTAAAATAAATTAGAATAGTTAGAATGGTTTTGTTGAAGAAATAAAATGTACAGTTGTTTTGGTGATTAAGCATAGTGCGTAATTTTAGATACCGCTAAGATCCGTTTTGAAGTGTAGTTCAGAGCTCCAGTTTCTGCTGTGTCCTGACTACGGAGTGGTTGGTGGAGATCGTCCTTGGGAAAAAACGCATGTTCCCAGCTGAGGGCGAGGAGAAGGAAGAAGGCAGAGAGGAGGACTAGGGAAGGAACTGATACCGTAGTAGCAGATTCTGCTGGTCTGCTCTGCATCTATCAGTGTAGCCTTAGCTATCAACTTCATAAACTTGATCCTCCTGAAGACTGTTATGGTCGCAACAGGTGGATCCTTCCTCCTCGAAGAATGCCTTTGGTGTTAATCAGGGAATGATCAGTCTGGACCTGCAGGCTTTGCCGCTGATTCCTCGGCTTTTTTCATGGATGGCCCCAGCAGCGGCTTCGAAGTGGGTTGCAAGCTCAAGCTGAAGACGACCCTAGGGGAGCAGCTGGAAGGGGAGGTCCTCGCGTTCGATGCCTCCACGAATTGCGTCATACTTCATATCCTTTCAACAATCCTCCCTTTCACTTCCTTCTCTCCCATTCCACTGCTTTTCGATTCCGTTTTGACGCATTTGAATTGCTCCGGATCTTGTCGTTTGCAGAAATCGCTTTCTCCTCGTTGTTCCATCGTTCTAGGGTTTCGTCCTTAACTCGTTGCACACAAGATCTAAACAGCCGGGGACCGAAGAGGAATATTCGATTCATCAAGGCTGATCGGATCGAGGAGTTCTCTGTTTTGGGCAAAACAGAGGAGGTCGTTTCCCTTCCTCTGCCTTACGTAGACCTAGCAGTATTGCACGCGAAGGAGGACGCTGCTGTCAGGTAAAACCTGGATAACTCTCAAAATCCAAGGGCTTTTGCTGCTGCATTTTGGATCCAGCCTGGATCGAATCCTGACCAGTATGCCTGTGACATTATGACAGGAAAGCGGAGGGTGAGGCCGAAAGAATAGGAGTCGGGGTGACTGCAGAAGCTCAAGATATTTTCTTCGCTCTCTGTAAAACGTGAGATCCCCTCATAAACCTTCAGTGCACGACGCATTTTCTTTGGTAGGTGAACAATATGTTCCATCTTTCCGGTTCCGCATCATCTTAACCCATGCTGTAATGTGGATGCAGGTTGCCTTGCAAATGGGACAAGACAAGAATCATTGTCATGGACGAGGTTCAGGTTCCGAATCCCTATAGGCCAGAGAATGTGACTGGAGGCTCGCCAGAAGCCAACGAGCGAGTGAGGAAAGTGGTACGTACAATGCATTGCATCATCAATTGCCATAAGACTAGGTACATTTCCGCATCCCCTGGCCTCAGCCTGTCACCGTCTATGAGGATACTGTGGATCCCCAAGAAACTTGGACGGCTTGAGTTGCTGGAGAGCAAGCAGGACTGAAAATTCGAGGATAAGTTAAACCCTGAGAATGAGGGCAAAGCGGCCAAGGTTTGGATGGGGTACATGAATGGAAAGAGGGGCAGGAAGATGGATTGAGTGTGGAACAGGGTGGGGGCTTGGGAGTGGTGGGTGAAATGGTCTGAGGCTAGGGAGGAAAAAGGGAGAGGGAGGAAGGGTGAGATCGATACAGGGAGAGAGAGAGGGGGTGTGAAGAGCGAGATGGAGGGGGTATGAGAGTGTGAGAGGAAGAGATTTGCCTTGAAAACCACATGTGTGTACTGCCCCCCTCTCCTATCTCTCTCCATCCCTCCTCGCGTCTGCCCTTCTTACCAGTCTATCTACCCCCACGCATGCACTCCTGCAGCTTCTATTGCTCGTTACCCACCCTTCAGTGCCACCCCATTCTGTTATTCCCGTTCCTGTTCAACACCATTTTTTCAACAGCTTGCAAGGGAGAGGGAGCGGTTGCAATCAAGACTACAACAAAGTACATAGTCTCGCCACTGCTAGAAGTGGTCGTGGCTGCCTGTTGATGCGTGCTGTATTGTATCAAATTCGGCCTTACCAGTAGATTGTTTCCGATCAACCACTGAATTGTGGTGGCAGGGAATGACAATGGAGTGTCACATGACTAGAGATGCCAATTTTGACCGATACGGGCATAAAATGCCAAGGAAAACAGCATTTGCTTGCTGTAGTGAAGTCTCTGATGTGTGACAGGAGCATGTGACAAATAATCAGACCTGATACGCCATGCAGGCAGGATGTTCCAAGTGTTCTTCTCATTATCAATCAACCGACCCTTCATTTGAGACTGCTGCAAAAGTCAGGCAATTCCAAAATCTGGATACGGGGAATCTGAGTGGCCTCTTGCCTCTCCATCTCTGTGTTGTAGCCCCATGTGCCTGCAATGAAACAGGGTTGCACGTGAAGCACGAGTTCAGAGGCAGAACAACAGGCACGCAGAATGACCGAGTGGCACACTGACTGCATGATGGATGGAGTGTGTGACAGTAGTCAGACAGACAAACCCTTGCACAGAGAGAAAGATGACAAAACAGAGCAGATAAAGTGCGGGCATAAAGCAAGGGGCCCGCTGTACCTAGGTAGAGATGCCATGCGTCCAGCTGTGGTGTGTTGATGACATTGCGCAGAGTGGCCAGTCGGTCCTCCACAAAGCTGACAGGCACAGACGCAATGCCACAAGGGGAAAGAAGCACGTCAGTGGTGCAAGGGGACGAAGATTCCGCTGCTGAGGAACCGAAGGTCAAAAGGTAAGAGATAAAAAAGAGAGGTCAGTCTTGAACATTTGCGATCCATGCACATATGGATAATGGAAGTAAGAGGAGAGAGGGGGATCACTGGAAGGAGCAGCCTTGGTGTTGAGGGAGTGACTGGAGATGCTGCAGCGTCTGCACTTTTGGCCTGAGGAAGAGGGGAAACACGGCAGGGGCAGCGAGGATTGGACGATCAGGTGAGCACGCTTGGGGTGTGAGGCATGTGGACAGGACACCCGTGCATGGGAGGACGACAAGGGCACGGCAGGAAAGTCAGGGTGCAAAGAGAGGGCATGGTGCAAGGATTGGGGAGGGTTGGGGTTGGGACACACTACCTCCTGGTTGACCTCTTAAGCACGCACGCCCTCCACAGAGCTTACACAGGACCCATCTGTACCAATAAAACCTACCCGGTACCAAGCCCGAAAACTTTGTCTTCAGGAAAATCAACGCCCGCTAATTCGCGCAGCAGCACGAGGGCAAAGCGGGTCTGGAGGCACACACACAGAGGACGAAGGGATCCCAGGAAGGTTACAAAGGGATCCCGGATCCTAGGAACAGAGAGGTGTGGCTTTGGGGGATGTGCACAAGAGACTTCGGATTGGAAGGTTACTTCACCAGCCAATTCCACGAAAAAAGGCAGGGCAAAACGGGCACAGCAAGGGAGTGCTTGAAGACGTGGAATCACGCACAGCAAGGGAGTGGCAATGTGGGGGAGCGTGGACGTGTGTGTGAGCAGAGAGGTGCTGCCAGGGGGCAGACAAAGTACAGCGGGAGTGGAACTTGTGAAGTCATGGCAGAGAGCAAGGCTACATGCACACCTGTTTCGTTGTGACTATGTACAGCGGCGACGCTGCCTTTTGCAGAGCTGCTGGCACTCCCTCGTACAGGGCATTGGCAGCAATCCACGAGGGCAGGTCGTCTCGGATCCACTCGTCTCTCACCGCTCCAAACAGCTCCACCAGCTGCTCTCTGTTTCCCTCCTCGCCCCAGTCTGCCATCACTGCTGGCTTCACATCCTTCTCCCACCCACTCAAAATGGTTCCCAGGGTTAGTCTGCCAGACTTGGACAGCTGGGAAAGGGGAGAAAAGGTGTCGAGGGGGAGGCAGGGGGGAGGATAGGGCGTTGGCAGCAATCTGGGAGGGCCGGTCGTATCCGATCCACTTGTCTCTCACTGCCCCAAACAGCGCCACGAGCTGCTCTCTGTTTCCCTCCTCCCTCCAGTCCGCCATCACTGCTGGCTTTATTTCCCGCTCCCACCCGCCCAGGATGGTTGCTGGGGTTAGTCTGCCGGATTTCAAAAGCTGGTGGGCGGTTACTGCAGGGGCAGGGGCAGGGAAGAGTGTGGCGATGAGAATTATGCGGAGCGGAGGTATTTTGAGTCGGCTTTTGAGTTGACTTTTGAGTTGACTTAAGAGTTGACTTTTGAGTTGAATTTTGAGTTGACGTAAGAGTTGACTTTTGAGTTGACTTTTGAGTTGACTTTTGAGTTGACTTAGGAGTTGATATTTCAGTTGACTTTTGAGTCGACTTTTGAGTTGACTTTTGAGTCCACTTTTGAGTTGACTATTGAGTCGACTAAAAAATTATTGCGGGGAGCGGAGGGGAGGAAGGTGGAAGAGCGTGGGGACGAGTATTGTGCGGAGCGGAGGACGCAGCACGCATATTTCCTCCCCGCCTCGCTCCAATCCGCTGACGCTGCAGGCTTCACATTCGGCTCCCACCCGTTCAGGATGGTGCCTAAAGTCATTCTGCCAGTCTTCGCTAGCTGCAGCGGCCAATGGGGAGAGAGAGAGGGGCATGGGTCCGTCCGTGGGAGCACAGGCAGGGGGAGGTTTGGGAAAGAAGCGAGCGATGGTGAAATGAGAGTGACGACAATAGCATCTATATTTTCAAATGAGCGAAGCACAGGTTTGCATCCCTTTGTCTGTACTCTTCACACCCAGCAATAGCATCTATATTTTCAAATGAGCTGCTCCCTGAATTTTCACCTGAGATTGAAGTCTGTACTTTCCACCTAATTGAGCGTTCTGCTCTTCTCACCTGGGACTGCCGCTTGTCTTCACACGCCATTTCCAGCAGCAGCCGCACCAGCAGAATGTTCTCATACCCCGTCTCCACCACTGGCCGCACCTGCCAGCACATCCAATCACGCATTCATCGAAGCACACAAGCGAAGTCAATGCTATTTCAACCAGCAGAATGTTCTCGTAGTCCGTCTCCACCACCGGTCTGACCTGCGAGCAAAAGGGGGGGGAGAGGGAGGGCACACAAGCACACACGCATTCTCACCATGTGGAGCAAAAGAAGCAGATGTGATCCAGCACTGGCTGCACAGGGAATACACGAGCAACAAGAGATGCTGAAACTCATAAGTCCAAGCCCATTTGACTTCAGCACACGGAAAGGGGATTATAGCGACAGGTCACACTGGGTACCTGAACCATTCAACAAGCCGGGTGCTCAAGCCAATCACAAGACAGACAAGTCCTCAGCGAGAATCACGTCTGGTCCGCTGACTCTTGCTCGACTGACTGCTTCGTGCTTCACCCTTCCCCTCGCCTCACCCCACCTCGCCTCACCCCACCTCGCCTCACCCCACCTCGCCTCACCCCACCTCGCCTCACCCCACCTCGCCTCACCTCTCTCATCTGCTTCAGGATCGTCTCCTCCACGTCGGCAGGCACGTCAGCAAAGAGTGACGGCCACCGCACCTTGGCAGCCTGTGGTGAGCACGTGGGATTTGGAGTGTGGGCACTGGGCGAGGGAATGAGGGAGGGGTGAGCTTCGGAGAATCGATGGGAAGCTATGCAGGACAAGGTAGCGAATCGTTCCAGTCACCTCATATTCTGTCCCTCTCATTTGTCCGCTCAATGAATTGCCTCACTCACGTTGCCTCACTCACGTTGCCTCGCTCGCCTCTATCTCACCAAATAATAGAGGCGAGGCAACCTGAGCCTCTATCCGTTCATTTTCCTTTGAGTCGACTCTCAAGGCCCCACTATTTCACCATCTGGTCTCTGATTCTCTTCGCCTCATCTTCACGGCCGGCAGCGAGCGTCGTGTGCTGCCGCTCTTTATAGTCACACCGTTTGTCCCACTCGCCTCACCTTCACGGCCGACAACGAGCTCTCCCCGCAGCTGTCGCACAGCACGCCGTCGAAATCCAGAGCGTACACGTGGCGATCCATGGCTGGATCGCCGGCTCGCGAGGAGCACTGAGCTACTCCGCGGCGGGAGTGACGGCTCGGAGCGGAAGAAACGGCGGAAAACGAGGGAGGCAGGGGATGGGGAGTGGAAGACGCAGCGCGGATAGCGGAACGATGCGACCTCGATACGCACAGACCCGTCAATGCGGCGCGATCAGGAACGCGTGATCGTGATCGTGAATGCGAACCGCAAGCTGCGGCAGCGGGCGGCGGAAACGCCTTCCCGGCGCAAACTGCGCTGGCTGTTCTGAGCATGATCGCGGTCAGGTCAGAAGTAACCACTGCTTACCGTGTTTCAATCAACACAAACAACCACAAGGCAGGAGCGAGCAGGGAATGATGCCTCGTAAATTCCGCGGCCTTGGGATTGTCGGTTGTGCTTTTCCTGGTCTCAAATTTCGGTTCATTTCGCCCTCCTGTCCACCTCGTTTGGGTGTCAGGGGGTTCCGCTCCTGACAGGACCAGGTTTTGCTTTGCGGTTATCAGGTGGTAACCCGATTAACCAGATCTGAACTCTGAAAACTCCGCTGTAGTGAAAACGAGGACTTTCTAGCACTTGCTTCAGCCAGCTCCTCAAGGTTTCCAGAAACCTTGATATTTGTTGCGCCATCAGATCCCAAGCCTTGGAATTGCCCCTCAACTTTCCCTGGATTGGCCCTTTCCCGCAGTTACTTGAGCGCGACGACGGATGAAACGCTGTGTGCGAATAACTGTCAGCTGTATCCCGTTTCTAAAAATCGATATCTACTCCTCAGAGCCAACGACACGTTGTCGAGGGTGAAGGTTTCACGGTTTCACGGTCGCGGTGACGTGTCGCTGGGATGAGCAGCAGCGACGGCAATCAGGCAGGCGGCGGGGCGGGGCGAGGAGGAGGAGGAGGAGGGCCCGTGCCGTCGCAGGGCTTTCCGTCTGGCGGCAGGGCGATGGGAATGGGAGCGCCGCCGTCGACGTCAGGCTATTCGAGCGCGCCGCCGCCTCCCATGGGGATGCGACCCATGCCGCCGCCAGGTATTACCGCCGCGATTTATTCTCCGTGTGTTAATATCCACGTCAGCTCGACTTAGATGTGTAGGATGCTTTGCGATCCGTGTAAGCGTGATTGCTGAGGATTCAGTTTCTGCCAAGCAGGAGACGGGAACCCTAATTTGGGGAACGGAGCGATGCTCTTTTCTTTTGCACACAGTCGCGCGTCCGTTTGGATGAGCGGGTGATGCTGATGGTGCCATGCTGCCATGCTGAACCTCCCCTTTCAACTCCTTCAAACCCACAACCTGGTACGCGTTTTAGGCAGATCGCCTGGTTCCGCTGTCCCTCCGCTCCCGTCTCTCGTGTCCCTCCCATGGCGCCTCATCGTGTCCCTCCCATGGCGCCTCATCGTGTCCCTCGCTCTCGTATCCCCTCATCTTTTCTAAACCGCTCTCCTCGCTTCCCTTGTCCCGGCCTAGCCTCCTCTCGTCGCCGTGTCTTCTTTTCTTCTCCTAGCCTCCTCTCGGCACCGTGTCTCGTTCTTTCTTACGCGTCCCGGAGCGTCGCCACGTTAGGTTTCAGTTGGTAATGAGATTTCGTTTCCTCGTAGAGTCGTTTCCCGGAGAGTTCTGTAGACAAAGGCAAAACATGGGGTCCCTGCAGTGTGCTTAGACTCGGCTACAGTGGTCGTGGTGCGCGTTAGAGAACAGCGAGTTCCAGCCTCCAGGCTGCATCTAATGCGGTCAGGAGCCAAGTACGATTGCCGGTTACATATTTCTGCTTGCAAGCAACGCGAAGAGCCGTCTACCTACCAGCCCGTGACAGGCAAGCGCTGGCAGGCACACCAGCAGGCTGTGAGACGGTCGCCCTCTCTAACGCTCCGGTAAGAGGGGTTTCATGCAGGGACGGGGTTTGGGAGATTCTAGCACTGTGGTTTTGTGTGAGCAGTGGGGTTTTCTGAGCTGCACGTGGGGAAAGCCCTTGCATGCACAGAGGAGAGTGGTCCAGCCCATGACAGGCACTCAGGCGGGAACAAGCAGGCAGGCAGCCGTCTATCCTCGTTAATTATCCGGTAAGAGGGGTTGCGTGGATAGGCCTTATTGTGTGGGGATCATGTGCACGTGGTAATTAAAAAGTGCATATGGTGTTGCTCATATGCATACGGTATTGTGCATGTGCATACAGTATTGCGCATGTGCATACGGTATTGCTCATGTGCATACGGTATTGCTCATGTGCATACGGCCTTGCTCATGTGCATACGGTATTGCGCATGTGCATACGGCCTTGCTCATGTGCATACGGTATTGCTCATGTGCATACGGTATTGCTCATGTGCATACGGTCTTGCTCATGTGCATACGGTATTGTGCATGTGCATACGGTCTTGCGCATGTGCATACGGTATTGCGCATGTGCATACGGTCTTGCGCATGTGCATACGGTCTTGCTCATGTGCATACGGTATTGCGCATGTGCATACGGTATTGCTCATGTGCATACGGTATTGCTCATGTGCATACGGCCTTGCTCATGTGCATACGGTATTGCGCATGTGCATACGGTATTGCTCATGTGCATACGGCCTTGCTCATGTGCATACGGTATTGCGCATGTGCATACGGTATTGCTCATGTGCATACGGCCTTGCTCATGTGCATACGGTATTGCGCATGTGCATACGGTCTTGCGCATGTGCATACGGTCTTGCGCATGTGCATACGGTATTATCCATACGCATACATACGATACAGTTCTACCCATGTGCATACGGTATTATCCAAAGGTGTTTCTGAGTTCTAATTCTCCGTCATACCTTGGATTTATGTTTCCTCTCTCTTTCCCTCTCCCCTTCGCCCCCGTCCTACCTCTCTCTTCCTATCGCTGCCTTCTTCCTGCTTTCCCGTCCCTCTCCCCCTTTCCCTCCGCTTCCCCCCCCCCCCAGGCATGCCCATGCATCACTTCATCTTCATGCGTCCGCCCCCAGGCGCCCCCATGCACCACTTCCGCCCTCCCCCCGGCGCCTCCCCCCTCCCCTACCCCTTCCCGGGCATGCCCCGCGCCCCCGGTCCCTTCCCCCACGGCCTGGCGCGTCCGCCCTCCCTCCCCCCGCCTGGCCTGCGCCTCCCCGGGCCCCTGCATGGGGGGGGCGCGGGGGGAGGGGGAGGTGCGCCACTGAGCTCGTTCTTGGCTGCTGCTGCGTCCAAGGGAGGGGCGGGCGCAGGGGGGATGGGGGGGATTGTGGGGGAGAAGCCGCAGACGACGGTGTATGTGGGGAAGCTCGCTCCCACCGTGGATGACACGCTGCTGGTCAAACTGCTGGAGGTGAGGGCCGCTTGGGGGGAAGGAGCGGGGGAGGGGGAAGCAAAAGGGGGGGGAGGGGGAGAGGGGTAGGGTGGGGAGAGAAGGGTGCGGGTGGCGAGAGAGCCATGCGGTACCTACCTTCGTCCATCCTGTCTTCCTCTTCTCCACTTCCACACCGCTTGTGGGGGTAGCTGGGGCTGGGGCTTGTGGGGGTAGCCGTTTCTCAGGAGCTGGGAGCAGCAGATCCCATCCACGGCACAGGCAACTGCATGGATTACTTTTGAGTGGGTTCAAACATCAACATTCTTCCATCGTCCCCTCTACCCCCTCCTCTCCCCCCTCCTCTCCCCCCTCCTCTCCCCCCTCCTCTCCCCCCTCCTCTACCCCCTCCTCTACCCCCTCCTCTCCCCCCTCCTCTACCCCCTCCTCTCCCCCCTCCTCTACCCCCTCCTCTACCCCCTCCTCTCCCCCCTCCTCTACCCCCTCCTCTCCCCCCTCCTCTACCCCCTCCTCTCCCCCCTCCTCTACCCCCTCCCCCTCCCTCCCTCCCTCCACTTCATCCCCAAACCCCCTGCCTCCTCATCAGCTGTGCTGCCCCCCTCAGAAGCTGCAAGCGAGCCTCGGACCCTACCACAGGCAGTCCCAAGGGTTACATTGTGGTCTGTGCATCCACGTAACAGAGTCTTGTCCCCCCACCACACATACCCCCCGCCCCCTCCCTTATCAGCTGTGCTTGCAGCTCCTCCCTTCTCAGCTGTGCGCCCCCCTCAGCAGCTGCAAGCAGGCCTCAGAACCGCCACGGCAGACAGCCCCAAGATTTGTACTCTTCAGTCGTTCAAGCTTTCAACTGTTCCGGCCCTCACCCTCTCCCCGTCCCCTCCTCCCTCATCAGCTGTGTGGCCCCCTCAGGAGCTGGAAGCGGGCGTCGGACCCCACCACAGGCAGCCCCAAGGGGTTTGGGTTCTGCGAGTTTGAGGCGGCGGATGGCGTCATGCGCGCTCTCAGGCTGCTCAACAAGCGCGAAATCGATGGCCAGAACCTGCTGGTGAGCGTGGCGTGCTGGCAGGGTGTGATGGCAGATGTGATGGCAGGGTGTGATGGGTGTGCTGCTATGTTAGAATACACGCGTATTGCGTTTTATACACCAGCGTATATTTGCTTACGTATGTACGCAAAACGCATGGGTTTGGGGTCCAACACGGCAGGAATACGCATGCCCGGGCAGGCTAAAAATTTTGCCCGGGCAGGGAAACAAAATCAGGGGGCAGCAAGGAAGCCACGATGGGGGCGGCTAGGCTAGGGTTTCTGAAAACGCGACTCTCAAATGAGAGGCGTTTTCTGGGGGGTTGAATTTTGACCAACCGATTCCCTCCCTTTCATCGCGTATTCCAAGTGTATCAGCGTATTGCATATATTCGCAAGCGTATATACACAATATGCAAAGCCTACAGAGCGTATATTCCAACATAGGTGTGCTGGCAGGGTGTGTGATGGGTGTGCTGGCAGGGTGTGTGATGGGTGTGCTGGCAGGGTGTGTGATGGGTGTGATGGGTGTGGTGGCTGGCAGCACAGGTGAGGTAACGCCCACCTTAGCTCGCCCATTATTGTTCCAGTGACTGGTCCTCCTGTGAGTTTCGGATGGCTGACGGCATCATGCGCGCGCTGCGGTTGCTCAACAACTGCGAGATCGACAGCCTGCCAGAACCTGCTGGTGAGCGTGGTGGCAGTATGGATGTGAACCTGCTGGTAGGGTGCTGCTGACTGACCGTTCGCGTGGGTGTTATCGCCCTGTGGTAGTACCCCGCTAGTGAAGTGAGCATGCACATTCCTCCGACCACTGGTTTCTGGGCAACTCCTAGCCGACAGCTGAGTTTGCGGTGCCTTCACTTATTCGACCTCTCTTTGTTAAGCATTTCTCTGAATCCTGCCAGCAAGCACCATGCCTCGTCCCTTAATCACTTCGTCTCCTCTGCCCTCCCTGTCTGTCCTCTCCTCCTCCTCCCCCCTTCTCAACCTACCTGGGCTCTCCTGTTTTTAGTTAAACGTGAATGCGGCCACGAGGGAGTATCTGGAGCGGGTGGTAGCTTCCAGGAAGGCCTCCTTTGCAGCCCTCGAAGCTTCCAGGAAGGGGATATCTGACGAGGGCAAGAAGGAGGGAGGGGAAGGGGAGGGCGAGGGAGAGAAGGCGAATGAGAAGGATGAGAAGAGCGAAGAGGGCGATGGGGCAAAGGCAGGGGCAGGGGAACGGGAGACGAAGGAAGAGGACAGAGGGGGGGAAGTGGGGGAGAAAGAGGAAGCGAGCAAGGAAGAGGGGAAGGAAGAGGGGAAGGAAGAGGGGAAGGAAGAGGAGAAGAAGGAAGGGGAGAAGAAGGAGGAGGATGCGGCGTCGTTTGGACTGGTGACGCCTGACGACAGGGACAAGGACGAGGCCGCCCTGGCCAAGCTCACTGCCATGCTGCACGATAGGTGAGGTGCCCGGTATGGTGGGGGGGGGCACATGGGTGGCATATGGCATGCATCGAGAGGTGAGGTGCCCAGTGGTATGGTGGGGCCCACATGGGTGCCAATGCCGTATGGCATGCAGCAGGAGAGGTGAGGGGGTGGGTGCAGGAGATGAGGATGTAATGATGATGAGCATCATCCAGTGTCGATGGACGGTGGCAATCTAATGACGAGGCATGGCTACGATGAGATGATTGTCTCATCATGTTGATGCTCATGCTGCAGTGGTTGTGTGTTGGGGCCCAGGTCACCATGCCGTGCTGTCGCTGTCATTGGCACTGTAGCTGTCTTAGTCTGTGCCTGTCATTGGCACTGTCGCTGTCTTAGGCTGTGCCTGTCTGTGTTTTTGCTGCGTTCCCGTCTCCCCGTGCTGGTCGTGCTGCAGTTGTCTGTTTGTTTCCTGACTCCTTCGCCTCCCTCCCTGGCCTGCAGGGCGAAGCTGCTGCCACCACCGCCGCCGCCACCGCTTAAGGACAGCAGCAAGGAGAGAGAAGATTCTGCTGCTGGTGGGTGCACTGTCTAGGAAGTGAGTGCGTGTGTCGCATGCTCGAAAGACTGTTTGTACATGTGTGTGTGGGAGTGTGCATGTGTGTGTGGGTGCATTGTCTAGCGAGTGACTGTTGCGCACAGGAAAGAGTGTGTGCACGTGCATGTTGTGTGCATCCATGTGTGGGCATTTATGTTTGTGCATGCATGCACCTGCGTGCGTGCACATGCACATGTATGCGTGTTGCTGGTGTATTCTGTGGCTGTTCGCCAAGCTTACCTTGCCACTATGCCGTGTCATTGACTCCTTAGTAAATGAGTCGAACTTCTTCCTTCTCATTGCCTGTCCCTGCATGGTTCCACGGATGCATGAACACGTGATTGCATGAACACGTGATTGCATGAACACGTGATTGCATGAACACGTGATTGCATGAACACGTGATTGCATGAACACGTGATTGCATGAACACGTGATTGCATGAACACGTGATTGCATGAACACGTGATTGCATGAACACGTGATTGCATGAACACGTGATTGCATGATTGCATGATTGCAAACTGCATGATTGCATTGCTGCATGCTTCGCACTGGCAGAAACAAGTGAGCGAGCAGGTGCCAGTGACGGGCACAGGAGGGAGAGCAGGAAGCGAGACAGGGAGGAGGATGACGATGATGATGATTCAAGCAAGGAGCGGACAAAGCACAGGGAGAGGGATAGGGAGCGAGAGAGAGAGCGGGACAGGGGTCACGACCAAGACAGAGAGAAGGAGAGAGACGGGGAGAAGGAGAGGGAGAAGCCTCGGGAGCACAAGAGCGCCAAGGAGTGGGAGAAGGAGAGGGAGCAGAGGGAGAAGGAGCGGGAGGAGAGGGGCAAGGAGCGGGAGTACGAGCGCTTGGAGCGGACGCGGGAGCGAGAGAGGGGGCGCAGGGAGCGCGACAGGGAGATGAATCTTCGAGAGCTGGACCGACTTAGTGAGCAGAGAGAGAGGGAGCTGGACAATAGGGAGAAAGAGAGGGATCGAGCGAAGGCATATGAGAGGGAGAAAGAGAGGGAGGCGGAGCGAGAGAGACGGGCGCTGATTCGGCAGCAGGAGGAGGAGGATAGCGAGGAGGAGGAGAGGATTTATAGGCGGAGGGCGAGGGAGGGGTATTGGGAGGAGAGGAGGAGGGTGAGGGCGAAGGAGGAGGCGGAGGATGCGAGGGACAGGGAGAGGGAGGACAGGGAGAGGGAGGAGGCCAAGGAGAGGGAGGCGCAGCAGAAGCGGGAGGCGATGGCGTTTGTGAGTGAGGCTGTGGGGGAGGTCAGTGCGCTGGTGGGGGGAGCTAGTGGACTGGTGGGGCAAGCTGCTGCTGCAGCAGCAGGGTTGGAGGGTGCAGCAGCAACTATGGGTGAAGGCGGGGGGGTTGCAGTTGCAGAGGCGGAAGGAAGGGTAGAAGGGCCGATCAAGGCTGAAGAGACCAATGGGTTCCCCGCAGCAGAAGTGGATACAGAAGCTGCTGCTGCCGCTGCTGCTGCTGCTGCTGCCGCTGCTGCTGCTGCTGCTGCAGTGGCACCAGCACCTGCCCCCCCACCGCTCCCCGAAGTGAAGGTCTCTCTCCCCAGCCTGGCAGACCTGCTGCCCTCCCTCCACCCGCCCTCCTCCGCCCCCGCTACTGCGGCTGCGTTGCCTGGTGGGGCGCAGGCAGGGCAGCAGGGGGCGGCAGGAGGAGCAGGAGAAGCAGCAGGGGGGGCAGGGAGGGCGGAGTCTGAGGTGGCTGCGCTGGTGCGAGCCGTGGCAGCGCATGCCAAGGACAGGGAGGGGCGCGCAGGTAGGGTGCAGAAGACAGCATGGTAGGGGGTTGGTGGCAGCCTGGTTTGCTGCCTGCATGCTCACACTTGTGGTGTATCTGCCCCAACTTGCATTCTTCCACTTATTGCACACGTTTCTCTATTCTGACGTCCCTCCTTCACCTCTCTTCCCTTCCCTGTCTTCCACCACTCGTCCTTCCCCTGCTGTTTCTTGAATAGCAGCAGGCCATGGTCAATCCAGCATGACCCCCCCCGCAGCAGCCCCAGCTGAGGTAGCTGCAGCAGCACCGCCACCAGCACCAGCAGCACCCGCACCTGAACCACCAGCAGCAGCGTCGCCAGCGGAACCAGCAGCAGCATCGCCCGCGCCACTCCAACCAGCCACCGCTGCCGCTCGACCCTCTACCGCGTCCTCCCGCCCATCAGCAGCGCCGGCAGCGGGCAAGAAGTCGCGCACGCTGGCGTCAGTGTTTGGGGCAGAGGAGGACGAGGAGGCGCTGGGCCGCAAGAAGCTTCGACCGCTCGTGCCCATTGACTATGAGGATGGGGGCGCGGATGGGGGCGGTGGTGGCGCTGCTGGTGGGTATGGCGGTTCCTCCTCCCCTGCTGGTGGTGGTGGTGGCGGCTTATCTGCCAGCATTGCTGCAGCTGCTGAGTTCGCCAAGAGGCTGTCGCAGGGAGGCGGGGGAGGGAAGGAGGAGAAGAGGAGGAGTGGAGGAGGAGGAGGGGAAGGAGGTGCGGGGGGGGGAGGGGCGAAGGCGAAGCCAGTGGTGGATGTGAAGTCGCTGATCGACTCCATCCCCAAGACCAAGGACGAGCTCTTCGCCGTGCCCATCAACTGGACCGTCTATGACGAGGTGAGACTGCCGCCAGGTGAGGCTGCCACCAGGTGAGGCATCGTCGCATTTGCAGCCTACTGTTCCGTCTCCTCAGTTGCCTTCTCTCTCCATGCACTCTCGTATCTCCTGTTCCCCACTCGTTCCACAACTCCCCCGCTCAACGACCCATCACTCGTTGTCGTCCAGCAGTGCATGAGCCCTTGGGTGACCATGCTTTCGCAGACTGCCCTGCTCACATTCCCTGCCTCCACTTCTTCCCACTTCTCCCCCTGGGAGTGCCTTGCAGCGCGAGCGTGGGCGATTATCACCCTTCTGGCCCGCCATTCCCACATTCCCTCGTTCCCATCCCCAAAACCCTAAATCCCGACCCAAGAACTTCCTTCTCAGAGCGCCCTCAGCAGCACATGACTATCCTTGTTCTTGCCCGCCTTTCCCGTGTTCCCTGCGTCCCGTTTCCTCTCCCTCCCCTACCGTGAACTCTGCTCTTCAGAGCGCCCTGCAGCAGTGCATGCGGCTGTGGGCGTCCCGTAAGATTGGACGGAGCCATCAGTTACGCATTCCCTCCTGCGTCTCCCCCCATCTGCCCCCTCTCAAAGCCCCCTGCAGCAGCGCATGCGCCCATGAGTGACTATCCTTTCTCATAGTGCCCTCCCAATTCCATTTACCCACTCCTACCTCCAACTCCCTCCCTCATCTCCTGCTCCCCTCAGGGCGCCCTGCAGCAGCGCATGCGGCCGTGGGTGGCATGCAACATTCGGCAGGGCCGCACATCTTCACAAATCTGCGACTCCCCCCATCCATCCCCCCCGCAGGGCGCCCTGCAGCAGCGCATGCGGCCGTGGGTGGCGCGCAAGATCCAAGAATTCCTGGGGGAGGAGGAGCCGACCCTGGTGGACTTCATCCTGTCCAAGACGCAGCAGCATGTGGGCGGGGCGGCGCTGCTGGCGCTGCTGGAGCCCATTCTGGACGAGGAGGCGGAGATGTTTGTTCTCAAGATGTGGCGCATGCTCATCTTTGAGATCCGCCGCGTCGAGATGGGGCTCACGGGGAAGGCAGGTGGGAAGTAGATCGTGGGTGGGACGATTTTGTTATACTGTTCCTGAGATGGGAAATGCACGTGTTGGATGAATTCTGTAAGCATTGTGCTTCTCTGTTGAGGAGAGAGTGTTGGTGCAAACGTAGATCTCACATTATAACTCAAGCAACCTCTTATTCTCGTCTAGTGTGCCAGTGGTCTAGTGGTAGAATAGCACCCTTCTTCCCCTCACATGCAGCTTTCTGAGACTGAGTGGCGCATTGCTGCAGCTATTCGCCTTGGCCTCCCCCTTCCTCACCTCTCATCTGCCCAGACCTGCACTTGCAACTCTCCATACCCAGACCCTTCCATCCATTCTCACGTCCTTCGCTGCCCTACTACCAACGAGCCTACCAAGGTGCATGATGCAGTCAAACAGGAGGTCCACCGCATCGTCTTGGAGCTTGGGTTTTCCGCGCAGCTAGAGGATCAGCATCGCTTACCTGGTCGTCGCTCTGACATCACTTGTCGCGATGTGAGCTCGGGAACCACATGGGCCTTGGTTGTCTCCGTAGCCGACCCTCAACATGGATTCCCACACTCAAATGCCGCTACAGTGATCGGCACGGCAGTGGCCACCCGCGAAGCCGAGAAGACATCGGCCTACTCTTCCTCCCTTCAGGGCCGTCCAGACGTCAAGCTCCTCCCCCTTGTCATTGAGACTTTTGGCTGCTTTGGATCCTCCATCCACAACTTCCTTCGAAGCTGCAGCCGGCGAGGGGCTTCTCATCTTCGCGATATGAGTGGAGCCACTGATACCCTTCCTCTTCTTTCGAGAGTAACTTCTACAAACGGATTTCTCTGGTCCACCATGTCAAACATGTGTATCTCCTATGTTTGCATAGACTATATAGGGCCACCTCTTAGAGGGTACAACACTTAGGTATATTCATCTGTACTCTCTCTCTACTCATCATTCAGTTCTCACTTTGATATGGTATCACGCGTAGGTTAGGATCCCCCACCTACCGCTTCCGCCCGTACCCTAGCTACGCCCCGCCGCTTCCCCCTGGGCCCCGTCGCGCCTCCTAGCCCCGTCGCGCCCCTCCTGGGCCCTGCCGTGCCTCCTGGCCCCGTCGCGCCCCCCTGGCCCTGTCATGACCCCCTAGCCCCGTCGCGCCCCTCCTGGGCCTCGTCGCGCCCCTCCTGGGCCCCGTCGCGCCCCCCTGGCCCCGTCGCGACCCCCTAGCCCAGTCGCGCCCCTCCTGGGCCCCGTCGCGCCCCCCTGGCCCTGTCGCGACCCCCTAGCCCAGTCGCGCCCCTTCTGGACCCCGTCGCGCCCCTCCTGGGCCCCATCACGCCTTTTAGCCCCGTCGCGCCCTGCCTGGCCCCGTCGCGCCCGCTCGGCCCCGTCGCGCCCTGCCTGGCCCTGTCGCGCCTGCCTGGCCCCGTCGCGCCCTGCCTAGCCCCGTCGCGCCCTGCCTGGCCCCGTCGCGTCTGCCTGGCCCCTCCGCGCCTGCCTGGCCCCGCCGTGCCTGCCTGGCACCGTCGCGCCCTGCCCAGCCCCGTCGCGCCCTGCCTGGCCCCGTCGCGCCTGCCTGGCCCCGCCGCGCCTGCCTGGCCCCGCTGCGCCTGCCTGGCCCCGTCGCGCCTGCCTGGCCCCGCCGCGCCTGCCTGGCCCCGCCGCGCCTGCCTGGCCCCGCCGCGCCTGCCTGGCCCCGCCCCTCCTGCCTTGCGCCCGTCCCAGCCGGCCCCGCGCCCGCCCTCGCGACCTCCGCGCCCGTCTGCTCGGCCCTTGCGCCCGTCCCAGCCGGCCCCGCACCTGTCCCGTCGACCTGGTGCCCGCTGCTTCTGGCCCCCGCGCCCATCCTGCCCCGAGCTGTGTGCGGCCCCCTCGTCGTCCCTGCCCCGGCCCTGCATCCTCCCTGGTATGGTTCCCCATCCCTGCACCGCACTGCACCGCACTGCACGGTACCGCCCTGCACCGCACTGCACCGCCCTGCACCGCACTGCACCGCGCTGCACCGCACTGTACAGTCCTGCACTGCTCCTGATGGCGGCGGAGCTTCGCTTCGACGCTGAAGACCAGCCTCTGGAGTTCGAGGCGTGGCTCGCCGACCTCCGTCGCCACCTCACTGGCCATCGGCAGGATGGCCACCCGCTTTCCGCACACCTTGACAGTACGCTCCCCTGCCCAGACCCCCCTGCTATTCTGCCCGCTGACCCCACACCCGCTGAGTGCGAGTCTACTGCAGCCACTGCCCTTGCGCGCTCTGTCTGGCTTTCCCGAGACGCTGTCGCTCAGCTTGCCATTAACAATGCCCTTCCCCCGTCCGAGCGCCCTTGCTTTAGGTCAATCACTACCGCCCAGGGTTACTTAGATGCTGTCATCAAGCGCTATTCCACCCCTCCTGCTGCCTCGGTGGGTCAACTGATCCTCCCGCTGCTCTTTCCCGACCTTGCATCTTTCCCCACTGTCTCTGACCTAGCTGCCCACCTGCGCTCGATAGATGAGACCTGGCACGCTGCCTGCACTGACACACAGCTTAGAGCCCACCAGGCGCCTGTTACCTCTACCCTCTACCTGCTTGCCACCCGCCTCCCTGACCGCCTTGCCACCGCCCGCGACCGCTTCCTTAGCATCCACCCCGGTGAGCTCACCCTCACCGACTTTGTAGACACCCTGACTGTTATTGAGACCCGCCACCGCTCCATCGCCCAGGCGAGCGGTACCGTCGCGGTCCCTATCTTTCAGGGTTGTGCCCCCGCTCAGTGTACCTTCTCCGACGGTTCTGTCGCTGTGGCTGAGACTGCTGCTGCAGCGCAGTTTCGTTCGGGGAAGGGCCGCCGCCCCAAGGCTGGGCGCGGCGGAGGAGGTGGGGGTGCAGGAGGGGGTGGTGGTGGAGTCGGGTCGTCTGGTGCTGGAGCGGACGAGGGGACCCTGCCCAGTCCAGCTGAGCCGGCGCCTCCGCAGTTGCAGCAACAGCAGCAGCAGCCGCAGCAGTCGCAGCAGCCGTAGCCAACGCAGCAGCCGCCGCAGACGAGGCAGGCGAGTGTCCTCCCGCCCGGGTGGCCTGGCGCTGGAGGTCGTCGGGCGCGTGGTGGTGTGCCAGGTGGTGGTTCGGGAGGTGTGCGTTGTCAGTACCAGATCCAGACCGGTCCTCGCCGCGGCTTCGTTTGTGGTAAGCTCGGTCATACCACTCCCCGCTGTTTTCGTCGCCTGGACGATCTGTTTCGTCAGCACTTCGGCCCGTCGCCCGACCTTCCGGACTGGCACAGTTTGCTTAGTCGTAGGATTCAGATTTTTGACATGGACATGGATGCCATTGTTTCTGCTCTGCATGTGATGTATGCTGATGAGTCTAGTGCACTTCCCGCTTATTACTCACTGTCGTCTAGTGTAGGTGTGCCTAGCTTAGCCTCCCCTGCTGCGTCAGGCGTAGGATCCCCTGCTTTGTTTAGCCTTGGTGCTTCCGCCGTCGCCCCGTCGCCAGACGCCACTGCTTCTCTTTCCTTCACCTTGGACTCTGACGCTTCCCGGTGCTTCTTCCGCGACTCTACTACACTAACGCCGCTTCCTGTTCCTGCTGCCGTTTCTCTTGGTGACCCCTCCGGCGGTCCGGTAGTCGCCCGCAGTTCCACCACCCTTCCCTGTCCGGCGGTTCCTTCGGGCTCTCTTACAGGTCTGCATATCCCCTCGTTCTCCAGGAACCTAGTTGGTGTCGGCTGCCTCCAGGACCTTGGCGTCACCACTACGTTCCCTGGTCACGAGCGATATGCTGTCTGTACCGAGGCCGCCACTGGTGCCCCCCTGTCCACGTTCCCCCGGGACCCGGTGTCCGGCCTGTTCACTCTGGACACCGTGACCCCCCCGGCTGGGGCGCCCCCTCAGGTGGCTGCGTCTACCCAGGTTGCTGCTGCCTGCTCCTATCGGTTCCTCACTCACCCGACTCTCCTTTGGCACCACCGCCTAGGTCACCCTGCGCTCCCGCGTCTGCATCACATGTCCCAGCACGGTCTCGTCCTTGGTCTTTCTGGTTCTCTCCCCTCTTTTCCCTCCTCCCCAGCCCCACCTTGCACGCCTTGCGTCGAGGGTCGGCTTCGCCGTGCCCCTCACTCCTCCTCGTTTGCCCCTACTGCCGCGCCGCTGCAGACCCTGCACATGGACGTCTGGGGCCCCGCCCCCGTCCATGGGCCGCGTCGAGAGCGCTACTTCCTTGTGCTTGTCAACGATTTCACTCGCTACACCTCGGTCTTTCCCCTGGAGCGGAAGGCCGACGTGCCTGCCGCTCTCATCCCCTGGCTTGTCTCTGCTCGTGTCCACCGAGGTCTCCCTGTCTTGCGCCTTCACTCCGACCGTGGTGGCGAGTTTGCCTCAAGTGTCCTTGGTCGCTTTTGTCGTGCAGAGGGCATCACCCAGACGTTCACCCTACCGGACTCCCCACAGCAGAATGGGGTCGCTGAGCGACGCATCGGTTTGGTCATGGAGGTGGCTCGCACCTCCATGATCCATGCCGGTGCACCCCATTTTGTGTGGCCGTTCGCTGTGCGCTACGCTTCTCACCAGCTTAACCTGTGGCCGCACCCCCAGCAGCCGCAGGTTTCGCCGACCCGTCTTTGGACTAGGTCTCCTGGTGACGCGTCTGCGTTCCACGTCTGGGGCTGCCTTGCTCATGTCCGTGCCTCCGGCACGGACAAGCTCACTGCCCGCACCCTTCCCTGCGTCTTCCTCGGTTTTCCCCTTGACGCGTCCGACTGGCACTTCTACCACCCGCCGTCTCACCGCTTCTTTCACTCTCGCGACGTCACCTTTGACGAGTCCGTCTCCTACTACCGTCGCTTCCCCCACCGCGGTCCCCCGGTTACCCCCCCCCTGTTCCTGGTCACTCCTTCCCCGGTAGTCCCTGCCCCTCCCCCTCCTCCTCCCCGTCCTGCCCCCTCTGGTGTGTCCCACGTCACCCCTCTTCAGTCGGTGGTCCCGGTTGAGGAGTCTTCTGACTCTGGTGGTGCTGCGGCGCAGTCCTCGCCGGCTGCCCCTCCCCAGGCGTCCCCTCCTCCACCGCCTCTGCCGCCGCTGTCGCCCCTCCTGTCGCAGCCGTTGTCACCTCCGCCGCCGCCGCAGCAGTCGTTGTCGCTGCTGCCGCCGCCGCCGTCGCAGCACCCGTTCGTTGACTCTGGGGGTGCTGGCGTTGGAGTGCGTACTAGTCCCGGTACCCCTGGGGGTGGTACCAGCCCTCGAGGGGTTTCGGGCCCTGGAGGTGTTCCCACTTGGGGTGCTGGCGTGGAGTGTGCCGGTGGTAGCCGAGGAGCAGCTTGCGGTCCCGGTGTCGGCGGTGTGCTGCCGCAGTAGCAGTCCCCGCCGGTGTCAGCCCTTCGCCTGCTCGGCCTTCCGTCCCCTGACCCTGCGTCTGTTCCTCTCCAGCCGTCTCCTCCTCTTCCCGTGTACGGCCCTGTGTTCCCTCCGCCGGACTCGTCCCCGGCCCGTCTCCCTCCTCGTTCCCCCCCTGTGTCCCCTCCTCTGTCTCCTAACCCGACTCCTCCGTCTCACGTCTGGTCTCACTGTCCCTCCCGTGCTCGTCCTGCCTCGCCTGTCTTGCGCTCCCACCCTTTGTTGCTTCGTTCCCACGCGTCTCGTCCTCCCCTTCTCCCGTCGCCTCCTCCGTCCTCCCTTGTTGTTGCACCCCCACCTCTGTCTGACTACCTTCGTGCCGCTCGTCCTCTTGTTCCTCGGGTCCTTGCCTCTCTCGTTACCGACCCGTCTGTTCCGGTCTCGTGCCTTGACGCTCTGGTAGCTGCGGTCGCTGACTTCGCCTCTACCCGCCGCCTTGACTACGCCACTGCTCTGGTCTCTGACCCTGCCTGTCCTCCGTCTGTCAGGGGTGCTCCTGCCCTCGGCAGTGGCGTCCTGGAGGACCGCCAGTTCGAGCTTGCTTTCCTGTCCGAGGCTGCTCCCCATCTCTGTTCCATGCTGCTAGTCCCTGAGGGTGACCTAGACGCTTTCGACATCCCGACCCCTCACACTTACGCTGAGGCGACCTCGGGACCTTGGGCCTCGCAGTGGATAGCTGCAATGGAGCAGGAGATGGCATCTTGGAGATCCACCGGCACCTTCGTCGACGCAGTTCCCCCGCCTGGGGTGAACGTAGTCGATGGCCGCTGGCTCTTCAAGGTGAAGCGCCCTCCTGGAGAGCCGCCTGTGTTCAAGGCGCGCTACGTGGCTAGAGGCTTCAGTCAGCGTGAGGGGGTGGATTTCTTCCAGACCTTCGCTCCGACCCCGAAGATGACTACTCTTTGGGTTCTGTTACACCTAGCTGCTCAGCGTGACTACGAGCTTCACTCCCTCGACTTCTCCACTGCCTTCCTTCAGGGCAGCCTACACGAGCAGGTCTACTTGCGTCGCCCTCAGGGCTTTACTGGCACCTTCCCTCCTGGGACCCAGTGGCTTCTGCGGTGCCCCATCTATGGCCTTCGCCAGGCTCCCCGTGAGTGGCATGACACGCTGCGTGCTACCCTTGCTGACCTGCAGTTCTTTCCGTCTTCGGCAGACCCCTCACTCTTCGTTCGTGCTGGCCAGACTCCGATCTACATCCTTGTTTACGTCAACGACCTGGTCTTTGCCACAGTAGACAGGGACGCACTGGCCTCAGTGAAGGCAGAGCTGCTGAAGAGACACACGTGCACTGACCTTGGAGAACTGCGCCGTTACCTTGGCTTTCAGATCTCTTGGGACAGAGCAGCGCGCACCATCACCCTGACTCAGTCACACTTGGTGCGCCAGGTCCTTCAGAGGTTCGGCCTTCAGTTCTCCTCTGCACAGCCCACCCCTCTGCCTGTAGACCACAGACTCTCCGCTCCAGTGTCTGAGGAGTCGATAGAGCCCAGCGGCCCCTACGCAGAGCTGGTGGGTTGCCTCATGTACCTGATGACTTGCACTCGCCCAGATCTCGCATACCCTCTCAGCATCCTAGCTCGCTTTGTGGCCACAGGCAGACACCGACCGCAGCACTGGTCTGCCGCTAAGAGGGTTTTGCGTTATCTTGCTAGTACATCGGGCATGGGGTTAGTGCTAGGAGGACGCCGGCCAGTGGTCCTTACTGGACACACAGACGCTTTGTGGGCAGACGACGCCGAGACACTCAGGTCTACCCAGGGCTACTGCTTCAGCCTTGGTTAAGGTGCCGTCTCGTGGAGAGCTACCCGCTCCTCGTCTGTTGCCCAGTCCAGCTGTGAGGCCGAGATCTACGCTGGTGCCATGGCGGCACAGGAGCTCCGCTGGCTGACCTTCTTGCTCACTGACTTAGGTGAGCAGCCTAGCTCTGCCCCGGTCCTGTTCGCTGACAACAGGGCCATGATCCTCCTGTGTCAGGAGTCTCGACTCGAGGGCAGAGCGAAGCATATTCAGCTGCGGTACTTCCTCCTGCGCGAGCTACAGCAGCGACGCCAGGCTCGCGTAGTACACTTGGCCCCAGGTGCCAACACTGTTGATATCTTTACGAAGGCGCTTGCGCCTAAAGATCATCAGCGGCACTGTGTACAGCTTGGTCTAGTTCCTGTAGCCTCTCACTGGCTAGGGCCTTGACTTTGTACTGTCTTTTATATGTGTACTCAGACTGGACTTGTGTCCTCTCCTAGTGGCTGGACTAGTAGTGCCGCCTTGGTCTTGTTCTTGCCTTGTCTGTACTCCTTCTGACTGGTCTTTTAGACCCTTGTCTCAGAGGCTGGACTAGTAGTGCTGCCCTGAGCTGCTTGTTCAGGACCTGCCCCAATGCAGTCTAGGGGGTGTGTCAAACATGTGTATCTCCTAAGTTTTGCATAGACTGTATAGGGCCACTTCTTAGAGGGTACAATACTTAGGTATATTCACCTGTACTCTCTCTCTACTCATCATTCAGTTCTCACTTTGATACACCAGTGGGAGCAAGCTCGCACAGTGTGTCGCCGAACTCAAACCCGTTTCAACGAGGGTACCTACCAACCGCACACCTCCCGAGTCGACTCTTCCTTCGATGGCTGACTTAGCTTACTTGGGTGTAGACCATTGAGACCGTTGTGTCTCGTCGTAGCTAGCTCTTCTGTTTGTGCCTTTTCAGATTAGCTTTCTTAGTGTCTTATCAGATGTATTGGTACAATATACAATATCATCAATAAAGTGGTAGCATAGCACTTTGCCACCAGAACGGCGGAAACCCGGTTTCAATTCCCGGCTGGCTCAGGGACTGCTTTTTGTGTCAGTCTCCATTGCCTCCTCCATCTGCGCATGAGCTCTTTCTGGCAGTGCTCTCCCCGCATTTCACTTTCGAACGAGCATCGCGTCTACTGTCAGTCGTTAAAAGGCATAGGCGCGGTAGCGGCATGATTTTGTACTCTTCCTCTTTTCCCATTGGCGTCATCCGCATCTCGCGTTTCCAGCGTTCGCCTTCTCTTGTAACGACCGAATAAGTGAAAGCCAGCTAAGCGCCACTGAAAGCGCGTCGACTGCCCCGAAGCAGCTGAGTCGGTCTAACGCGTTTACTCTTTATCGCGTACATTGCAGCCGATCAAGCCTCCAGATGGTGAGTCTCGCCGTGGAATGCGAAGTGCAGCGACCTGTGGATTGTCGTTCCTCCCTCCCTGTCGCGCCTTCTGCCGTGGCTAGGTAGTGCGTGCGACGGTCAGTGCGTGCGACGGTCAGTGCAGGCTACGGTCAGTACGTGCGACGGTCAGCCCAGTCATGCGAAAGTTCCAGCGCAAGCTGCCCCTCCGTCCATGCTCCCCCCCCCGCCACCAATAATCCACTTCCCCCTCCTCCAGTACCAATCGCACCATCTTGACTTCGAACTTACTCCATAATAATGTGGCTTACCGCCCTGTGTCGGCAGGTGTACCACTCGTCGTACTCGCATCTAGAGGAAGTGGAGTTCGCATGCGGCTGCCCCTTGCTGCCGCTTAAAGCCACTGCTAGAGGGCCCACGCATAACGCCTCCACTGGTACGCACCTGCTCATAATGCTTTCCCCCAGGTAAGCACTCCTCTTTCGTGGCATAATGCCTCCACCAGTACCCATCTTCTCTCCTCTATTCTCCGCCTGCAAACCCTCCGAAACGCTTCTGCATTGTGCCTCCCCTGGAGCCCCCCACCCCACCCCCCCCCACCACACCTTCCCCCCCTCCCCCTCTTTCTCCGCTGCTGCTTGCACCCGTTGCAGTCGTTCGTTTCCTGTCTGCCTGACTTCGGTCTCCTGCTGCTTATGCACCCATTGCCGTCGCTTCCTCGTTCATCTCTTGAATCACCTTATCACCTTATTCCGAATCACCTTATTCCGAATCACCTGTTTCCGAAGCACCTTCAGGATCTCAGCACATGACATACGCTCTTTGATTCGAGTTCAGAGTGCAGCAGAGAACTCGCAAGCCACGCCCCCTCCCTCACTATATCCATACCCTGCGTTGTCTCCGATGTGCCTTCTAGGGTCTTCTTGTGTTCTCTACTCTCCTGTCTCTTGTCCCCCACCCATCCAGAGGAGACTGACTTTGTGAGCGAGCCCTTCCGCTCCAACGTCTTGAGAAGAGACCTCTCAAGTTCATCAGCCATGAATCCATCCTTTCCGTCCCCTCTGCCACCCCGCCCCGCCGCCGAATGAGACAGGTATTGTTGACGAGGCGATTACTCTCTTCCTCGCGACTGTCTTGCAAGCTCTCACCAACTGTTTGCCTTATTCCTATCTTTCCTCCAACACCCCACCCAACCTTCCACTCTCCAACACCCACTCCCCAGAGGAGACGGACATTGTGGACGAGGCCATAACTCTCTTCCGCGCCAACGTACTGTTCCGCCGCTTCGACATAAGGGGCCCCGCGGACAAGCTGCTGGTATACCTGACGCTCTACATCAACATGGCTCTCAAGCGCATCGACTCCTGCCCCTCCGAGGCCGAGGGCATTCGCCTCCTCATCAACCTCGGGCTGGAGCCCTTCCCCATCCCGGGAGACCCCGGGTTCCCGCTGGCGGGTTTGTTCGCCACGCCCACCAGCCGCCTGGAAGCAGGTGAGCGAGGTGGCCGGCCGGCAGCCGGCCGTTGTGTGACTGAGAGGAGATTGGGTGTCGCTCCTGCAGCTGCCTGCACGTAGCTGTGTCTGCATGATATCAGGTGGTCGTGGCTTTCCTTCTTCTCTGCTTGTTTTGGCTCTTCCCTTATCTCCTTTAGGGGCTAAGTGTGATTTGTTTTTATTCTCCCATCCCATCCTTCCTTGCACCTGCACACGTGTCCCTTCTGCCACAGAGACGCTGCGGACGTACTTGCAGAGTGTGAGGGAGGAAACGAGTAACCGGCTGCTGCAGGTGGTGTACTTGCCTGATGGCTCGCCCAACAAGTGGTGGCTGTCCTTCAGCAAGCGCAAGTTCATGAATGTCGCCATGCCCTTGTGACCATCAAGGGCGGGCTCATGCACGCACAATGGTGTCTGGTTGTACAAAGAGGGGGTTGAACGTCCTCTAGCTCCTGGAACGGCTTTCTCTCCTGTACACGTTATCAGAATAACGAATTGACTAGACAAGAGCATACAGGGTATGCTTGGGTGTTGTTGTTCAAATTATATAAGTTATAATTTAATATAGGCTTGGTAGGTTGTTACTGAACCTTTCTGTAGGGGGTACAAACCCCTCCTTGTACTCCCCTCTCTTCTAATCCAACTCTCTTTTCTCTCCTCAACTTTCCTAGCACCTAAAACCTCTCGCCATTCTCATGGCTCCTCCTAGCTCCTAGCTAAACCTTGTGCCATTCTATGGCTTCCTAGCTAAGCTAGTCTTTTGACATGGTATCAGAGCAGTTCGTTCCGTGTGGGCCTGCTCCTCGCGTTTCCGCTGCGTGCTCGTTTCTCTCTCTATCTCGCGCTGCCATGGCGGCCGCGTCAAGCTGCTGTGGCCGCGTCGTCGTGCCGCGGCGCCGCCGTCGACGTCCATGGCGCCCGCGTCCAGCTGCTGTGGCCGCGCCGTCGTGCCGCAGCTCCGCCGTCGCGTCAAGATGCTGTCGCGACGTGACGGCGCCGTCACGCTGCCGCGGCGTCTACGCGACAGCGCGCGGTCGGCGTAACGGCGACGTCGTGCTGCCGTCGCAACGTCGACGCCCCGCTGCGGCATCGACGCCGCTCCATGACGGCGTCGTCGGGCTGCAGCCGGCCGCGTGACGCTTGTGGCGCCGCTAGACCGGCCGCCCGCATGTCAGCCTGTGGCGCCCCCCCCCCCCCCACCCCCCTCCTTCCCCTGTGCCCTCTTCCATTCCGCAGACGACGGCTGACTCCCGCCGGCCGTCCCACCGTCGCGGGGCCTGGCCACGTCACCGAGAGGTGCGGGTGCCGCCGCCGCTGCCGCTGTTGTCGAAGCCGCCGCCGCCGCCGCTGTCGCCGCTTGCGTCGGGGCCACGCAGCCGCACGCCGCCGCCGCCGCCGCTGTCGACACTGCCGCCGCTGCTGCCGTCGCCGCCGCAGCCCCTGCGGTCGACGTCGCCGCCTCGCGCACCGTGGGTCGACCGACCTAGAGTCGCTGTCACTGTGGCTGGAATGGGGGTGCTAGGTTAGGGGGTGTGGGTGTGTGTGGGCATGTGACTACCAAGCCTAGGGGGTGTGTTCAAATTATATAAGTTATAATTTAATATAGGCTTGGTAGGTTGTTACTGAACCTTTCTGTAGGGGGTACAAACCCCTCCTTGTACTCCCCTCTCTTCTAATCCAACTCTCTTTTCTCTCCTCAACTTTCCTAGCACCTAAAACCTCTCGCCATTCTCATGGCTCCTCCTAGCTCCTAGCTAAACCTTGTGCCATTCTATGGCTTCCTAGCTAAGCTAGTCTTTTGACAGTTGTACTCTCTAAGAGCATGCAACTGTCTGGCCTATAACTACAAATATATATAAGTTGACACGTGTCTCCTTGTGCTCAGCGCGTCCTGTGCCTATTTTGCGCACGCTGCTTACTCTTTATTAGCACACGATAGAGTTATTCTCACGTATCAATATGGTTTTTGGCAATTGAAGATTATGTGCAATCATGCTTGGGAAGCGCACCCTTTGCTGCACACCACCCGTTCTCATTGGCATCATAAAAAGCAACTCTTTAGGACTTATAAACAATGCATGAATTTCCGCTTCTTCCTGCTGTTCATAACACGTGTGAAGTGCAATCCCGCTCCATTTCAGTCCCCCCCGCCGCTCTGCACCGAACCTAACCAGAACCGGCCAGGTTCGGAGTTGCGTTTTGCGGGACTGCTTGTCAAACATGTGTATCTCCTATGTTTGCATAGACTGTATAGGGCCAACTCTTAGAGGGTACAGCACTTAGGTATATTCACCTGTACTCTCTCTCTACTCAATCATTCAGTTTCTCATTCTAACATGGTATCACGCGTAGGTTAGGATCCCCCACCTACCGCTTCCGCCCGTACCCTAGCAAGGCCCCGCCGCTTCCCCCTGGGCCCCGTCGCGCCTCCTAGCCCCGTCGCGCCCCCCTAGCCCTGTCGCGCCCCTCCTGGGCCCCGTCGCGCCCCCTCCTGGCCCCGTCGCGACACCCTAGCCCCGTCGCGCCCCTCCTGGGCCCCGTCGCGCCACTAGCCCAGTCGCGCCCCTACGGGGCCCCGTCGCGCCCCTCCTGGGCCCCGTCGCGCCTCCTGGCCCCGTCGCGACCCCCTAGCCCAGTCGCGCCCCTCCTGGGCCCCGTCGCGCCCCCCCTAGCCTCGTCGCGCCCCTTCTGGGCCCCGTCCCGCCTTTTGGCCCCGTCGCGCCCTGCCTGGCCCCGTCGCGCCCTGCCCGGCCCCGTCGCGCCCGCCTGGCCCCGTCGCACCCTGCCTAGCCCCGTCGCGCCCTGCCCGGCCCCGTCGCGCCCTGCCCGGCCCCGTCGCGCCCGCCTGGCCCCGTCGCGCCCGCTCGGCCCCGTCGCGCCCTGCCCGGCCCCGTCGCTCCCGCCTGGCCCCGTCGCGCCCTGCCTAGCCCCGTCGCGCCCTGCCCGGCCCCGTCGCGCCCTGCCCGGCCCCGTCGCGCCCGCCTAGCCCCGTCGCGCCCGCTCGGCCCCGTCGCGCCCTGCCCGGCCCTGTCGCGCCCGCCTGGCCCCGTCGCGCCCTGCCTAGCCCCGTCGCGCCCTGCCTGGCCCCGTCGCGCCTGCCTGGCCCCACCGCGCCTGCCTGGCCCCGCCGCGCCTGCCTTGCGCTCGTACCAGCCGGCCCCGCGCCCACCCTCGGGACCTCCGCGCCCGTCTGCTCGGCCCCTGCGCCCGTCCCAGCCGGCCCCGCGCCCGTCCCGTCGGCCTGGTGCCCGCTGCTTCTGGCCCGAGCTGTGTGCGGCCCGCTCGTCGTCCCTGCCCCGGCCCTGCATCCTCCCTGGTACAGTTCCCCATTTCTGCACTGCACTGCACCGTCCTGCACCGCACTGCACCGCACTATACAACGCGGTACCGCCCTACACCGCACTGCACCGCGCTGCACCGCACTGTACAGTCCTGCACTGCTCCTGATGGCGGCGGAGCTTCGCTTCGACGCTGAAGGCCAGCCTCTGGAGTTCGAGGCGTGGCTCGCCGACCTCCGCCGCCACCTCACTGGCCATCGGCAGGATGGCCACCCGCTTTCCGCACACCTTGACGGTACGCTCCCCTGCCCAGACCCCCCTGCTGTTCTACCCGCTGACCCCACACCCGCTGAGCGCGAGTCTACTGCAGCCACTGCCCTTGCGCGCTCTGTCTGGCTTTCTTGAGACGCTGTCGCTCAGCTTGCCATTAGCAATGCCCTTCCCCCGTCCGAGCGCCCTCGCTTTAGGTCCCTCACTACCGCCCAGGCTTACTTAGATGCTGTCATCAAGCGCTATTCCACCCCTCCTGCTGCCTCGGTGGGTCAACTGATCCTCCCGCTGCTCTTTCCCGACCTTGCGTCTTTCCCCACTGTCTCTGACCTAGCTGCCCACCTGCGCTCGATAGATGAGACCTGGCACGCTGCCTGCACTGACACACAGCTTAGAGCCCACCAGGCGCCTGTTACCTCTACCCTCTACCTGCTTGCCACCCGCCTCCCTGACCGCCTTGCCACCGCCCGCGACCGCTTCCTTAGCATCCACCCCGGTGAGCTCACCCTCACCGACTTTGTAGACACCCTGACTGTTATTGAGACCCGCCACCGCTCCATCGCCCAGGCGAGCGGTACCGTCGCGGTCCCTATCTTTCAGGGTTGTGCCCCCGCTCAGTGTACCTTCTCCGACGGTTCTGTCGCTGTGGCTGAGACTGCTGCTGCAGCGCAGTTTCGTTCGGGGAAGGGCCGCCGCCCCAAGGCTGGGCGCGGCGGAGGAGGTGGGGGTGCAGGAGGGGGTGGTGGTGGAGTCGGGTCGTCTGGTGCTGGAGCGGACGAGGGGACCCTGCCCAGTCCAGCTGAGCCGGCGCCTCCGCAGTTGCAGCAACAGCAGCAGCAGCCGCAGCAGTCGCAGCAGCCGTAGCCAACGCAGCAGCCGCCGCAGACGAGGCAGGCGAGTGTCCTCCCGCCCGGGTGGCCTGGCGCTGGAGGTGGTCGGGCGCGTGGTGGTTTGCCGAGTGGTGGTTCGGGAGGCGTGCGTTGTCAGTACCAGATCCAGACCGGTCCTCGCCGCGGCTTCGTTTGCGGTAAGATCGGTCATACCACTCCCCGCTGTTTTCGTCGCCTGGACGACCTGTTTCGTCAGCGCTTCGGCCCGTCGCCAGACCTCTCGGACTGGCACAGTTTGCTTAGTCGTAGGATTCAGATTTTTGACATGGACATGGATGCCATTGTTTCTGCTCTGCATGTGATGTATGCTGATGACTCTAGTGCGCTTCCCGCTTATTACTCACTGTCGTCTAGTGTAGGTGTGCCTAGCTTAGCCTCCCCCGCTGCGTCAGGCGTAGGATCCCCTGCTTTGTTTAGCCTTGGTGCTTCCGCCGTCGCCCCGTCGCCAGACGCCTCTGCTTCGCTTTCCTTCACCTTGGACTCTGGCGCTTCCCGGTGCTTCTTCCGCGACTCTACTACACTGACGCCGCTTCCTGTTCCTGCTACCGTTTCTCTTGCTGACCCCTCCGGCGGTCCGGTAGTCGCCCGCAGTTCCACCACCCTTCCCTGTCCGGCGGTTCCTTCGGGCTCTCTTACAGGTCTGCATATCCCCTCGTTCTCCAGGAACCTAGTTGGTGTCGGCTGCCTCCAGGACCTTGGCGTCACCACTACGTTCCCAGGTCACGAGCGATATGCTGTCTGTACCGAGGCCGCCACTGGTGCCCCCCTGTCCACGTTCCCCCGGGACCCGGTGTCCGGCCTGTTCACTCTGGACACCGTGACCCCCCCGGCTGGGGCGCCCCCTCAGGTGGCTGCGTCTACCCAGGTTGCTGCTGCCTGCTCCTATCGGTTCCTCACTCACCCGACTCTCCTTTGGCACCACCGCCTAGGTCACCCTGCGCTCCCGCGTCTGCATCACATGTCCCAGCACGGTCTCGTCCTTGGTCTCCCTGGTTCTCTCCCCGCTTTTCCCTCCTCCCCAGCCCCACCTTGCACGCCTTGCGTCGAGGGTCGGCTTCGCCGTGCCCCTCACTCCTCATTTTCCCCTACCGCCGCGCCGCTACAGACCCTGCACATGGACGTCTGGGGCCCCGCCCCCGTCCATGGGCCGCGTCGAGAGCGCTACTTCCTTGTGCTTGTCGACGACTTCACTCGCTACACCTCGG